TCTGCGGGACTCGTGAATAGGCAGTGATCTGTGTCGTTATAATGGCATCGGTAAAAAAGACGCACAACCAACAGGAACCAGCCAACAGTATCTGAGGTGTGCGCTAAAATGACTAAGTACAAGTGTCTGAAAGATTGAAGCAGTCTACTGATCCTCTGACTGCCTGAACCCTCTCGAGCCCATGGCTGTGTGTGTGCGTCTGTTTCTGTGTGTGTGTGTGTCAGAGGTAGAGAGGAAGGAGGGCTGCTCAGAAATGCTACACGCCACTGTGGATGTCAAATCGTTGTCGTTTTAAAATGCCATTTAAAAACAAAGACAGTGTAAACAGGGCCTGAGTGTCTACTTTTCGCGAGCGGATTTGCAACGGGGGCGGGCGGAGGATCGCGATGCCGGTGTTGTCTATCGGACAAACCCTAATACGTACATAGCAGAGCTTGCAAAACTGTGTTGTTTTTTTTTGTCGACAACACGAACGTTGTCAACATAAATCACTGGAAATCCGAAATGCTTACACACCGGCGACTTCATTAAAAGAGGAGAGGATTTAAGCTCTGTCGACTGGTCTCCTGTATCTGCAGTTCAACAAGCACTTCAACAAGCCTGTTTTTTCCCGCTTGGCAAGCCAAGCTGACGTGACATGGGGGCGTGGCAGCATAGACGATTCTATTTTTTGATTCGATAATCGAAATTGAGCATAAATTTCGATCGATTTCGATTAAAAATCGAAATCGTGACACTCCTAGAGTTTAACCACAGATACTGGGACACTGGAGTATTTTAAAGCTGTGTTTCATCAGCGGATTGTTCGTATGTCAACTTTTAGACAAACCAGCTGATCGACGTGACTTTGAAGCGCTCCTGTGTCTAGGTATGGGACAATAACCGTTTTCAAGGTATACCGCAGTTTGGAAAAGTCAAGGTTTTAAAACCGCCAAAATTTTCTGCAGTACCGTTTTTATCCTTTTTTTTTCCTTTTTAGGACAACAGTGTCTCAACAGAAAAGATATTCAAAGATGGCATTTTAAATTGTAAAAAAAAAATCTGTTTTTGAAATAAAGACAGCAGAAGTCAATGATTCATTTGAAGAATTTAGCCTGACATGTTTACTGTTCCAAAATATTTTAAATGTTTCTCAAAATAAAATATATTGTGTTCAAAAGGGGAAAAAAGTTTTTTTTTTTTTTTTTTACCCAGGCATTTAAAAAGAATATATTTTAGAGCAGTAATTACAATACCGTGAAGGTGTGATAATCCAAGGTTATCACACCGTCAGAATCTCATACCGGCCCATGCCTACCAGTGTATCCGTGGTTATCTTAGTAAACAAGGGTTTGTTCGGTGAACTAATGACCTTCAGGGCCAATCACATTCATTTCTGTTGAGCATGTGAACACAATGGAAAATCAGCGCTGTTTAAGAACATGCTCAGTAGTGTTCAAATGCTGGTGGGAAATGGATGTTTTTAAAATTTCAGTATCGATTGGTACCAAATTTCAGTTTCGTGACAACCCCACTATAAATTGAATTATTATTAATTTAATTGGCTTGTGTTTTTTTTATCTGTAAAGTGTAAGTTATCGGCTTAAAATGTAAAGGTCTTACTAAATTACTTTAATATTATTTAAGAAAATAATAACTATTTATTACAAAGCATTTTCCGTTTAGGTTTTCAGCCAAGTACATCCAGAATTTTTGATTTTCGCACAGAATTTGCATTTTGGTGCATTCTTTAAAATGACTACCTTTTATTGGTCAGTATTATAATAATCTGTACAGATTCTGAATAATGTACAGAAATTATATTGAAACAAAGAGATTGGATTAAAAAAGGATTTTAAAATTATTTGAAATATGTAAACAACTTCAATAATTAAAAACAAATTACTTCAAATTTGTAAACCCAGTGGTTTTCCAAATAATTCACTTATAATATCAGTTTTAAATTGTGTTCATAAAAAAAAAATTATTAACATGCCTTTTAAATTTTAGGCTTTGCATTTGAGGCTAATCATGTCAGGGGCTCCTTAAAGATTGAATAACCCTATTCTAGGCAACCTGTTTTCTCTGTTTATCTCTCCAGGTACTTTAGTTTCACATAATATAATTATTTTAATACAAATCAATACTTCATAACCCTTTTAGTGAGCAAGAAAATACAGAGTCTATGCAACACTATCCTATACAGGAAAAGAAACATTATGCTATTTTATTATGCATTTAATTACAGTATCTTCTCTACAGCAAACTTTTTTAAAAAATAATATAAAAGACAGGGTTTTTCTCTTTCTCCCTCTCAAAACGTTGTTCAAAATATCAGTGCAGTTTCATAAATTGTTTAGTGCTCATCCAGCCTGGCCTTACAAAGTATTGAGGTGAACACTGCCTGTCTTTTTCTTGCTCATGTGTCTGTGTGAGTTCTCTCTTTTATAGTGGCATGATGAGTGTTACACTAGACTTCTCTCGCCACAGTTCCTCCAAGCTAGAGCTGTTACTGAACTGGACTGATGTTATGTGATCACCAGTCCCTTCTGAGGCCAGTGCTGAGACCAGATGGTCAAACTGTCACATGACCTACTGGACCAGGGCTGTGCTGTCACTGTATACTTGTATTGATCTGGTGTATTTTTGTGCCTTGTGATTGTAAATATTTGTATCCTTATGCATTGTGAGTTTTGCTGGTTATAGATTAGGGTTTCACAATGTATCGTTTGAGCATCGATATTGCAATGTGTGTGTCTGCTATAGTCACATCACAGGATATGCAGTGTTGAGTTGGGATTATAGATTATCATTGGTTAGGTAACTTCTTATGCATCAATTATGTGCTCCAAACTTTTTCTTTATTGACACATTCAATTTGCCATTGTTTGCAATGTTTCCAAATTGCATTGTTAATCTTTTCTCACCAAATTTTAAAGTCTGTTTTATCTATTATTTTCTGTAAAGCTCCCTCTGAACATGTCATGTTCACACTAAATGATTATAATAGACGTTTAAAGGGATTATAGGCAGCATCCTTAATTTATTCTCTTAAGTAAGGCGAGATCATCACTTAAGTATCATACTTAAAGGGAAAATTAGCTTTTTTGCTTTACAAAGCTTAAAGCATAAGTACTTTTGTATCTGCCGATCACTACGACAATTTTTATCCGTTTTTCTGGATTCAAACCCAAGCGATTTTCGCTGGCGTCAAGCAGAAGAGTATTCAAAATCACTCCTTAAAGTTGTGTAGCGCCATCTAACGTCAAGCTTCTGACACCACGCTTTTAACACAGAAGCAGAGGAAGAGAAGAAGTTTACACTCTTGTTTAAGTTACTGGTGACTCGAACAAGCATAGATGGTTCAAGTAGCAGCTCCAGCTCTAGCGATAAAGAAATGATTATTGTTCACAGTGCAGTAAGCACTAATAATAAGCATTAATAATCTTCAATGTGCGCTCGCATTGACAGTTGTGCGCTTGAGCGCCTCCAAGTACTGCGTACTGTAACTTCAACAGCTCCGTGCACGTGAACAAAAGTGGCAATCTGATTGGTGGAGAAGGTTTAGACGCGGCACGTCAAAACAAAAAAATGAGCATGAGGTGTTTTTTTTTTTTTAATTGACGCTTTTGCGCCTCGCGTTTTGTGCGTTGGTGTGCACGATCACATTGACGCCCTTTATTTAGTCACAAGGCGTTAAACTTTGATGGAAAACGCGAGCAAAAAAAGTCTCGGTGTGCACGTGTATAGGTGAGTGTATAAACTGTCAGTGAAAATGCAAAAATATCAATATATATTAATATAAGTTTTTCCTCTAATAAGCCCTTAAAAACATTTTCATCTGCTTATCTGGGGCCGGGTTACGGGGGCAGCAGTCTTAGAAGAGAACTCCAGACTTCCCTCTCCCCAGACACTTCCTACAGTTCTTCCGGGGATACCAAGGCGTTCCCAGGCCAGCCTATAGACATAGTCCCTCCAGCGTGTCCTGGTTCTTCCCCGAGGCCTCCTCCTGGTGGGACAAGCCTGGAACACTAGGTAGATGTCCAGGAGGCATCCAAAACAGATGCCCGAGCCACCTCTGCTGACTTTTTTTGATGTGGAGAAGTAGCGGCTCTACTCCGAGCTCCTCACGGGTGACAGACAAACTTGTCCTTTCGGTCATGACCCAAAGCTCATGACTATAGGTGAGAGTAGGAACGTAGATTGACCGGTAAATTGAGAGCTTTGTCTTTTGGCTCACCTCCTTCTTTACCTCATTGGACCAGTACATTGACTGCATTACTGCTGCCGCTGCACCAGTCCTCCTGTCAATCTTACATTCCATCCTCCCCTCACTCGGGAATAATACACCAAGATATTTGAACTCCTCCACATTGGGTAAGGACTTTCCTCCAACCTGGAGATGGCAAACCACCTTTTTCCGGTGGAGCACCATGGACACGGACTTGGAAGTGCTGATTCTCATCCCAGCCACGTCACACTCGGCAGCAAACTGGCCCAGTAATAATAATAATAATACCAGTAGTATTATAATTATTATGAATACATTTATATACAGTATATAGTTTTATAGTGTGCCAGGGCAAGAATAAAACTATTGGCCTGACCAGACCAGACCATAAATTTAGTATAATAATTTCCATATGTAGTATTCTCATACCCTTCTTGTTATCCAGTTCTTTGATTTCTCACACTCTTTTTTTTTTTCTTCTTTTTTCTTTCAATACCCCAGACTCTGACTCCAGTGACTAGCTTTGTTTTTTTGGTCCCTCTTTCCTCTGCTCAATTCTGTCTGTGTCATTATATCTGCGGATGTCATTATACCCCTCTCTCAGGGATAGATGACTTTGTAGCAACGTGTGTGGACTAAATACAGGCTGGTTATTCTCCAGAGCGAGCCAATGAGAAGCTTGAGTTCAGACCATTAAACGGCTGATGCTTGTCAGCCAAAGGTTTTCATAATGAACTGTATGGTTTCCGACCTCATCTTGTTAACTGCTCATTTCTGTATTTGTTTTCAGTTTGAGCAGAGCTAATGGGGAGATCACGCAGTGGGACACAAAGCTAAAGCGCTCAAGACCAGACCGTCTACTTCCCTCGTGCCGGTGACTCCGTGCTGTCGTGTTGGATGCAGCTTAACAAGCAGAAGAAGAGAAGGAAAGGATTTCTCTCGCTCCAGTGGACTAGATTCTTTATAGTATGATGAAAAAGTGAACTTGCATACTTCCACAAACCAAAGAAACACGTGAGAGAAACACACAGAGAAGTTTTGTGGGAGACATCAGACACCATCGTTTCCCTTGTGGCGTGGTCGGTCTGGAAGGAAAACGGGGCTCCTGCAGGATGACCAGTCTTTTCCGACGCAGCAACAGTAATGGAGGGTCTCGGGGTGGCGGGGGCTCGGCTGCAGGCGAGCTCAACAACTCTAGGCCCAACCGGCAGGTTCGACGGCTGGAGTTCAACCAGGCTATGGAGGACTTCAAAACCATGTTTCCTACCATGGACTATGAGGTGATCGAGTGTGTACTGCGCTCCAATAATGGTGCTGTGGACGCCACCATCGACCAGCTCCTGCAGATGAGCATTGACGGGCAAGGCTCAGATGACAGCTCAGATTCAGATGACAGCATCCCGCCAGAGGTCAGTGCTTTTTTTTGAAAGTGCTTATAGGTTTTGTTTAGACTCGCTATTAAGATGAGTTTTGTTGATTCAGTCACAAAAGAAAGTGCAGGATTTCCAAGGGTCAATGAGTTTGTGAGTCTAGGGAACAAAATGCTCAGAAGTCCTAGAAAATAAATATGCATAGATGGTGGCCCTTTAAAGTGCTTACAATTATTTTGTGGAAGATTGAAAAAAATCATATTATTCTCTTCAGTTTGCTAATGGGTTATTTCGCCAACACTTTGTGGCCTGCGCATACTAGCTTGCTTAATTTACAGTAGTTATGAGCATTTACACATTATGTTAAAGGTGCAGTATGTAAGTTTGACACCCAGTGATTGAACTAGGTAATGCATTCCTGGATCAAAACAAACGCAAGCGCAGGTTGCCAGACTGAGGTCCAACAGGAGCGAAGTCTAAATTCTGATTACAATCGTGTTCTATATAAAAGCAACGGCACCCAATAGACCATGTATACAGTAGTTTTTGTTCTTACGAACACCTTGAATTGTTATGTAAGAAACGGCTTCTATTTCTTGCAACAACAACAGAAAAATTTTACAATGATCACCTCAGGTACACCTCATGTGCTTTATTCAGTGTTAAATGCTAATAATGTGAGTTTGAATCCTATTTTAAATTACGTTTATTGCCAAGCTACTGAAAACAGCAGCAGATAATTCACCTCAGGTCTTGAAAAATAAAATAACCTATTTGAAATTAAACTTTAGAACTGTGAAATAATGCAAACCAATGCATATCAGTGATTCAGCATGTACATTCATTAATGTTAAAGAGGGTTAATATGTATTAATTAGATTATAAACCTTACCACGAGTAAGTGCATATTCTGTGCTTCTGAATGGCTGTATTTACATTTCTGTCGTATTTTGTCTGGTGCAAACAGCCAAATTGCTTATCACTGCGTATTTCATCATGTAGCATGTTGTTAGGACACGCGGTTTCAATGTAACCTGCTCACCTAATGTTTACGTTCGTAATATTTATATTATTTGCTAATATCATGTGGAATCTCATTTTAGGGCTGTTGCCATCCACCAGAGTTCGCATTTCGGTCTCTGACGCATGCTTTGAAAGCCTTTCTGAATGAATGAATGAATGAATGAATGAATGAATGAAAAAAATACATTGTTTACCAACAAGGCAACCCGGGGTGTTGAAATATAATTGGCTAATGTGGCAGTGGGCAGGTTAAAAAAAAAAAAAACAAAGGCAGACCTTCCGGCATGTTACGCACATTTTTTTAAAGCAAAATAACTGACTTCAGCATTGTTTTTCAGATAAACAAGTGTCACTTAATGTTTCTTAAATATCTGCAAACATAATATGGTATTTTTATGCTCTAGAAGAGTCAAAACCGTACATACAGCACCTTTAAATGTACTTTGTGTTGTATGTTACCATGATGTTCATTCGCAAGCACAAAACAACATAGACAAACTGAAAATTATAATGTCTTAAACGCAAATTTCAAGATATTTTTCTTAAATGTAACCTTGCTTTCACTTGAAATGTGTCCCCACATTACATTTACATTTACATTTAGTCATTTAGCAGACGCTTTTATCCAAAGCGACTTACAAATGAGGACAAGGAAGCAATTTACACAACCAAGAGCAACAATGAATAAGTGCTATAAGCAAGTTTCAGGTCTGTAAAGTCTAAGAAGGGAAGTATTAGTAGTATTAGTTTTTTTTTTGTTTGTTTTTTTTTTTTTTTGTACAGTTAGTGTGATATTCAGAGAGGCAATTACAGATTAGGAAGTGTAGTGGAGACTAAATAGTTGAGTTTTTAGTCGTTTCTTGAAAGTAGCGAGTGACTGCTGTTCTGATGCAGTTAGGGAGTTCATTCCACCAACTGGGCAGATTGAGCATCTACATTAAGGGTATTGAACCTGGAAAGTTTTTAAAAGTTCCATAAATTTGAGGTTAACCCAGGTGTGGGAACCTCGATAAAGGTTTAAATGGGGACTATAAATGTTTTGAGTTCATTCACTTGATCCAATGGGCTACATGCACACAGACTTTTCATTTTCAGCCAGGCAGCCCAAGGGCTTCCAGTGAAATGTCTTTCTATTAAAAAATTGTCAAGTTTGAAATCTGATTTCTTTAAAAAATCAGCAATCTTCGCTGCCTGTTAGATATACGATATGAAGTGGGTCTCAGATCAGACAAGAAGCACTGAATTAAGTTCCGTTTCCCCCTGCCATGTCTTTAATATATGACAGTTTATTTTACCCCAGTATTTTCAATGGAATTTCTGCGATAACCTGTTGCTACTGACGCGTTAGTGGTTACAACGATCTTTCATCTCATTTTAAGCTTAAACAACTAAATGAATGCTTAAGTCTGTTTAACTGAATGTATTATAATTACATTACAACATCGATGCTGCAAAAACAACCTTGTAAAATTGAAAATAATCACATTTAGCTTTCAGCAGAAGCTTATCGTTGGCTTTAAAACTCAAGCTGTGCATAGAGCCCAAATTGACTAAAACAAATCTAACTGTTAAATGTAAACAAGGCAATAGAGCGCAGTAGTCAAATACAGAAGTAAAGCCTCTATTGATTTCCATTTAAGGAAATTGATTTTTAATTATAACTTGCAACCTTAACCAGCTGTTTGTTTGTTTTTCAACATAATTAGGAATAATCCCATTGAACAATTGAATCAGCAAAGAAAATTACATTATGTATGATGCTGTGCAGAGTCATAGTCAGAAAATAACACCAAAAGAGCTTTCATGAATCACAGAATGCATTCGATCCCTCCCATTTTTTTTCCATTGTGGGGAAAATGATTATATATTAGTGTTGTGGTGTATGAAACCAACGAATTAGCCATGAGGTGAACCATTGCAACATTTGAAGCAAAAAAGTCAAGATGTCATACCATTGTTTTAACTTTGGTTTTTACGATGGAATTACTCTGGTTTTTGTGGAAATTTTGGAACTTTTTACCCTCTGATTTTCGCAATGTAGAATCACTCAGTATTTTTGAAGTATCTCTTAAAACTGACTTTTTTAGGGTAGCTTTTATTTTCATTCATTCATTCATTCTCACAATTTTTGCAGCAGATGCCCTTCCAGCTGCAACCCATCTCTGGGAAACATCCATACACACTCATTCACACTCATACGCTACGCACAATTTAGCCTACCCAATTCACCTGTACCGCATGTCTTTTGACTGTGGGGGAAACCGGAGCACCCAGAGGAAACCCACGCGAATGCAGGGAGAACATGCAAACTCCACACAGAAACGCCAACTGACCCAGCCGAGGCGCGAACCAGCGACCTTCTTGCTGTGAGGCTACAACACTACCTACTGCGCCACTGCGTCGCCTAGCTTTTATTTGATATGATTATATTTGACTTTTGTATGATTTTTAGATAAAAATCATACATTTAAAAAATCTTTATTAAAAGTTTATTGTTATTATTGTTTTCTAAACTGTCAACTGTCATTTTTTCCCCTCATAACTAAATATGCAAGTAGTATTCACAGTGTGTGGAAATTGGGGAACCCCTGAAATAACCATCATAATTTTCATACTTTGAATTTTTGTATGACATCATGGTTGTGTAATTTTATGCACAAAATCTGTAATTAAACATCTTGGCCATGATGACTGTACATAATATTTGACTAGATATTTTTAAAACAACTCTATTCAGCTTAAAGTGACATTTAAAGGCTTAACTAGATTAATTATGTGAACTAAGCAGGATAGGGTAACTATGCAAGTGATAGTATAACGATGGTTTGTTCTGTAGACTATCGAAAAAATATAGCTTATATAAAAAAAGACCATAAAATATTTTTTTAATTAAAAACTGCTTTTATTCTAGCCAAAATAAAACAAAAGACTTTCTCAAGAAGAAAAAATATTATCAGACATACTGTGAAAATTTTCTTGCTTTGTTAAACATCAATTGGGAAATATTCAAAAAAGAAAAATCTAATCAAAGGGGGTCTAATAATTCTGACTTCAACTGTAGATAATGTTATTATTATAACACATCGTTCCCCCATAATCACATCTTAAATCTAATTTAAAAGCAAACTGTCATTTTCAATAAAATAGAATTGGTTCATTCATGCCTAAGTCATTTGTGTCCAAGTCTTAAGTGTCTTTTGTCTTTCATTCTCTCACACCTGCTTATTTTAAGCATGGTGTAATAATCAATAAGTTTCTTACCCACAATCCTTCTTTTACACTCGACTGCTCTGATAAAAAGAGAACTGTGTCAGTATTGGGCCTGGAGAGGAATGTGAGACACATTATGGTCTATCTGTCTGTGTCTCCGCAACCGTCTGCTTCATGGCCCAGTGGAGATTCCCTGCCATTAGACTTCGATGCGATCCTAAGTGAAGCATAAACTGCAGTGCATTTTGTTTATACGTTCTGCTACGATTATGAGTGTTGCAGCTCTCATTGCTTTTAGACATTCCCCTATGGTCTATTTTTTTCTCTTGCATTATTTATAGTACTCTGTTTATATGGTGATATGTTGGAATAGTATGTGCATGTGCTGTACTGCATATCTGAGATCTATCTATCTATCTATCTATCTATCTATCTATCTATCTATCTATCTATCTATCTATCTATCTATCTATCTATCTATCTATCTATCTATCTATCTATCTATCTATCTATCTATCTACCTATCTATCTATCTATCTATCTATCTATCTATCTATCGTTCTATCGTTCTATCGTTCTATCTATCGTTCTATCTATCTATCGTTCTATCTATCTATCGTTCTATCTATCTATCGTTCTATCTATCTATCGTTCTATCTATCTATCTATCTATCTATCTATCTATCTATCTATCTATCTATCTATCTATCTATCTATCTATCTATCGTTCTATCTATCGTTCTATCTATCTATCTATCTATCTATCTATCTATCTATCTATCTATCTATCTATCTATCTATCTATCTATCTATCTATCTATCTATCTATTGTTCTATCGTTCTATCTATCTATCTATCTATCTATCTATCTATCTATCTATCTATCTATCTATCTATCTATCTATCTATCTATCTATCTATCTATCTATCTATCGTTCTATCGTTCTATCGTTCTATCTGTCGTTCTATCCATTGTTCTGTAATTCTATACTATTGTTCTATCTTTTTATGTCTGTCTGTCTATTGTTCTATCTATGTATTTATCTATTATTCTATCTATTGTTCCAATTATCTGTCTGTCTGTCTGTCTGTCTATGTGTGTCTGTCTGTCTGTCTGTCTATGTGTATCTGTCTATTAATTTATCTATCTATCATTCTATAATTCTATCTATTATTATGTCTGTCTGTCTGTCTATCATTCTATCTATTGTTCTGTCATTGTATCTTTCTATCTTGTTATATCGTTTTATCTGTTTATCCATTGATCCATCCATCCATCCATCCATCCATCTATCTATTGTTCTGTAATTCTATCTATTGTTCTATCGTTTTGTCTGTCTGTCTGTTTGTCTGTGTCTGTCTATCTATTGTTCTATCTATCATTCTGTATGTCTATGTATCTATTTATCTATCTATCATTCTATCTATTGTTCTGTCATTCTATCTTTTTATCTTGTTATATCGTTTTATTTATCTTTCTATCTATCGTTCTATCTTTTGTTCTGTTGTTCTATTAATTGTTCTGTTGTTTTGTCTGTCTGTCTGTCTGTCTGTCTGTCTGTCTGTCTGTCTGTCTGTCTGTCTGTCTGTCTAAGAAGCAGTTCCTTTTCAGGTATACATATGCAGGAATAAATTTTGCATATGCTTTGGAATACACAGCAAGCATTGATCTGCAGTATAATGAAAAAGCTGTTGTATTACATAACAGCCATTTACTGTTGACTTTTTTAAATTTGAATATTAACAAACTCAATTAAAACAATTAGATTTAAGCCAATACTATTCAATACTACTATCGACCTGCTGCCAAAAAAAAGAGTAAAGAATTGCATTGCTCCCATTACTGGTTTTATGGCTGGCTAATGTTACACGAGTAAATGTGTTGTGTAGATTCATTTTGAAAGTTTCTTGTTGCTGCTAATTGCAATCATTTTGACTTCTTTCTTTTTTTTTTTAAATCAGATTCTTGAACGAACCCTCGAGCCAGACAGCTCAGATGAAGAGCCACCACCTGTCTATTCACCACCAACATATGACATGCATATATATGACCGGAAATACCCTGAAGCTCCTCCTGTTCCTCCACCCAGGTAAAAAGAAATGTTATTTACTTATATTTATTTCCACCTCCAACAAAAAGGGACTTTAAAATGATCCAGACTCAGAAAAGCAGATGGGGTCTCCTTTAGTCACAGTTCTGTAATTGATGCCCCCTGGTGTTCAAAAAACAAACAGCAATTCCCGTTAAGCCTTGTTTTTGTGGTGTAATCACCATTAAGCATGTAATTCTATTTATCCATGAATGTAATACTCATGAATGCACGAGTACTGAAAGGGTCACACACGTTGTAGCAGCTGTAATTGAATTATGACGATTGTGAAATTTGAGAGCTGCACTGAAAAAAAATTATTCAAAGATGATTCCTTGGATTTACTTTTTTTTTTTTACATTAAGTGGTTGTAAACAATTTATTTTGGCTGAATTTAAACAAAAAATTAAGTTAAAAATTACTACATGTAATTTGTTTGTTTTAATTCAACAAATAAAAATTGTTTACAACAATTTTGCAGAAATCATTTTTTTCAATGTGCTAATAAAATGAGGGTCAGTGACACTGGGCTCTGTTATCTTGCAGATTTGAGGCCCAGCCTCCCCCTGGACACAGGCAAGTACAAGGTTACAAAAACTGGAACCCACCATTACTTGGCAATCTGCCTGATGACTTCCTGCGAATCCTGCCTCAACAGTTAGACAGTATACAGGTGAGCATTAATGGAAGTGAAACCCGTTTGAAGAAAATCACTGTATTTTTTTCTGCAAAATTGTGTGAAATTATTTTTATAATCCAACATCATCTATAGTGTCACTAAACATATTTTATTAAAAGGTCCTGTGCAATTAAAATAAAGATTTTTTTAGATGTTAGTATCAGTATGTAGTTTTAAGGCTATCTGAAAGCTGGTGTACTCCAAAACAGTGACAAATTTTACATTTAGAATATATGAACCTCATATAAACATCCAAAGCTTGCATTTTGTCACTTCCACCTAAATGAATCAACTTTTTGAGTTGTTTTGACATGACCTCATACTTCAGTTTCTCATCAAATCTTCTGACCAATCGAATGCTCTACAGTATCTGACATGTCCTGCCCCCTTCAAGACACTTTCATTTGATGCACATGATCTCAACCTCTTTCACTGACAGAGCGATGATAAAATCAAAAAGCTATTAGCTGTTTTAGCCATCTCTTCATGTTTGAGTTGTGATTACATCAGATTTCAAATAAATAAATAAATGCATGTTTCAAAGCACTTCACAGAAGTTTTAAGTTCTTTTAAACTTTCTAATAATCATGACAATGCTTGGTGCCAAAACTTTTTTGCCTTTTGATTTTGCTCAAGCTCTTTTGCTATTCAATGATATTAAAGAGCTGTGAATGGTTCAGAAACATCATTAGAGGTCATTAAAACTTGCTAATGCAGTAAAGAGGTGCAGCAGGGAGACCAATGAGCATTTGCTTTTAAGCTCTTATTCCATTTCTTGCTTTCTGAATGGCTTTATCAACTTTAATGACATTCTTGTTCCGTTGTACAGATGCAGTCATCTTGCATATGATGAGCATTCAAATACAAATCAAATGTTTTTCTGTTCACTATGTAGCCGTGACTTTCTAATAGTATTAAAGTAGTCTAGGTTATATTGTAAAAAAAATAAATAAGGCATATTTTCATTCCAATAAAAAGATATTTTTAGTCACCTCCGGACCATCTAGGTGTAGGTTTTAACTTTTTTTTTTAACATTAAAGTAGATTTTTAGCTGAAATTGTCATAAGATGCAAGTCAATAGATACCAGCACTTTAAGAGTTAAAAACAGCTTGTTAACATGACCAATTATATCCTGCCAATCAGAGAGATGGGAAAATGCATGGTAATTGAGCTTTGTGTAAGATTAAAATGGCATGTGTTCATTTTTTTAAATAATAAAAAGGCTGTTTAAATGATATAGTATTTCATTCATTCATTTTCCTTCGGCTTAGTTCCTTTATTCGTCAGGGGTCGCCACAGTGGAATGAACCGCCAACTTATCCAGCATCCATGTTTTACACAGCGGATGCCAGTACTGGGAAACAATCATACACACTCCCGTTTACACACACTTACACTACAGTCAATTTAGTTTATTCAATTCACTTATACTGCATGTCTGGACTGTGGGGGAAACCGGAATTACACTCATTACTAAGCCAAACTGACATGCTATTTCAGAGCGAATATTTAGAGTTGCATGGTAAACAATATAGGGAGAGACTAGGCGGAATAGCGGTATTTACTTGTGTTTTGTTGTTAAACTAATTAAAATCTACATTATCTATGCTGTAAAAGGTCCCTTATCAAACTGAAAATAGTCTTATCAATCTTTCATCGGAAGATTTTAGTGGCTGAAAAACTTCTGTGAAGATGTAACCCATTTGTGACAACAACATCTAGCGTTACATCAGCTTTGCGTGAAGCTAAAACAGTTTTAAAACAGAACATTACCTGTCTAAAAGAAATCCTTCAGCCATGGTGTCATCCTTTCTCCAGGGTGCAAAGGTAACTCCAATACTGATTCAGGTTTTTAAAAAGTTTTGATTCAGCAGGTTTTTACCGATCTCGCATGCTCTCTCTCCCTCTCACATGAATGCACAACACAAACAGCAATCGGCGGAGATGCGTACAAACGTCTGCGCAGTTGTTCAAATCTGCATTTGCTGACAGAATTATGAGAGATGTCGGCCCGACTCTATTTAATTTGATGAACATTTTTTAGTTTTATGCCTTAACCAAAATATAAAAACCCTTATAAATACATTTAGATCATTTACTTTAATCATTACTATTAGACTGTGAAGAGACTTTCAACCAGCACAACAAAAAATGCTTCTGAAGACAATCACCTACTGCATCTTTAATGGTGCTTTAAAAAGTCCTTGAATCTGCTGTTCATAAAAGTGGAAACCCTTTTTGATATATTATGTCTTTGATGAATGAATCATTTAATTAAACTGGGTTTTTTACTTGAGCTATCTAAAAAAATAATCTCATTGCAGTAGACAACTTTCTTAAAATATTTTATGTTTATGTACAACATCCTGACTATGAGGATCCGACCAAGCCTGGTTGTTAAGTTTGATAGGTTTTTCAAGTTGTTGAATTTTGTATGAGAGTAATTTTTACTCTCTTCAATATTTTGCAGGGCTCTCAGAGTAGCACCTCTAACCCTTCCTCCTCCACCTCCTCCTCGTCCACCACAATAGCCCAGAAAGTGGTGGCTGCAGCGGGAACAGCCGCCGGGGCTTCAGAGCAGGAGCGCAAACTAAAGCAATATTTGGAAGATGAACGTATTGCTCTCTTCCTGCAAAACGAAGAGTTCATGAAGGAGCTGCAGAGGAACCGTGAGTTCCTTATTGCGTTGGAAAGAGGTAGGAAGACTCTCGCCCACACACTAAACCAGACAATGAGCACTTTCTGACATACTCCACTTCCCCATCCTTTCACAGATCCACCTCCACAAAGTCAGTTCTTATGCTAATTTCGTAGACACTGACTGTTTTGGTTTTTCCTCACACAGCGAGATATTGTTATACTTTGTCATACACACTAATTATTTGATATGAATAGTCATCGAGACGTTCATATCCTATTTAAATGAAGAAGGTATAGTTTTCTTACCATAACACCTGCCTTCTGTGTTTTAGATCGATTGAAATACGAGTCAAAGAAATCCAAATCCAGTCATTCATCAGCTAGCATGGAGAACTCCTCAGGTAGATATCATTCACTGTGTCTGTGCATGTTGGCGTGTCTGTGCATATGCATTATTTTCCCTTTTTAACACTTCTAAGCACCCCTATTTGAGCCTTTCATATGGAAATGTTTTAGTTTGTCCACAATAGTATTCTCAAAGGTTTTTTTCCACACTGAGGGCAAGTTTATTTGATAAGAGTGTATTTAAAAAAAGAAATGTTTTCCTTTACCTCTTCGGGAAAAAAAACATAATGATAACAATATTGTGAAAAGGATCCATGTACTCTTAGATTCTCAAAACCAATCTGATGGGATGTTTATCAATTACTTCTACAGGCCTTCAGAATGAAACTATAATGCCAAGTTCACACTGCATGATTTTAGCCAGCTTTCACTCGCTGGCGGTTTTGTGAAGTTGCCAGCAAATTTCTGAAATCTGAGGCAGTTCAACTTATTAAGAGTCATGCAGCGTGAATTATCAAAGACATGATCAGAGAGAATTCATGAAATATTTTGCATGCTAAATATCTGGACCTGTCTTTGAGTCAAAATCGTCCAATGTGAAAAGAGTTCTCACTGAAAAATACATTGGCCAGACAGAATAGACAGACTTTTTTGTTGTTTCTGTGCAGAAAATTATAGTAAAAGAGCTGAGATCTTAAAAAATACAATTTATAAAACATTTACATGGGTAATGAAAGTCATAATAGCTCTCTCATATAATACATCCTCTAAAAAGCATTGGAAATACAGCTTTACAAGTTGTATTTGTACCTAAATTGTTGAAATATTTGCATATTATTTAATAATAGATATAAAATGTGTATAAAAACTGAATGGATATGTAGTTACACACATTTACATAAATACAATTTAAAACTGATACTTGGGTAAACATAGCCATAGCTGTCCCATAGATATAATACATCCACTAAAAGGCATTGAAGATACTGCTTTACAAGTTATATTTGCACCTAAATCATCTAAATAGTTGCATATTATTTTATAATAGTAATAAATTGTATGTAAAAGCTGAATAAAATGTATTTACACACATTTACATAAATAGAATTTAAAAATGTTGAATGGAAGATGGTTTGGTCTCTAGCCAATAAGCTTTCAGTTTGCAACAGGGCCAGAGCCGTTCAACTCAGAATCCTTCATAGAATTCATATCACAACTAAATTAAGACATAAATTCAATGCAACCCACTCACCTCTATGCGTTAAATGCAAATCAAATATCGGGGATTATATTCATTGCAAATGGGACTGTCAGGTTTTTCAGTCCTATTGGTGCAGAATCATAACCCAAATAAACAACATTTTTGGTCTGGACCATTTAAAATTTTGAATTGGGTAAACACATATACATATGATCATATAATTCATCCACTAAAAGGCATTGAAAATACTGCTTTACAAGTTGTATTTGTACCTAAATCATCTTAATATTTGCATATTATTTGTAAATAGTAATAAAATGTACATAAAAAAGGAATTCAAATGTGTTTACACAAATTTACATAAATACAATTTTTAAAATGTTACATGGGTAAGCATAGCCGCAGTAGCTCTCTCATATAATAAGATATCCACTAAAGGGCATTGGAAATACTGATTTACAAGTTGTGTTTGTAGAAAAATCATCTAAATATTTGCATATTTTTTAATAATAGTGATAAAATGTATATTAAAAACTGGAAAAAAAAGTGTTTACACACATTTACATAAATACAATTTTAAAAATGTTACTTGGGTAAGCATAGCCGTAGTAGCTCTCTCATATAATAAGATATCCACTAAAGGGCATTGGAAATACTGATTTACAAGTTGTGTTTGTAGAAAAATCATCTAAATATTTGCATATTACTTAATAATAGTCATAAAATGTATATAAGAACTGAAAAAAAAGTGTTTACACACATTTACTTAAATACAATTTTAAAAATGTTACTTGGGTAATCATAGCCGTAGTAGCTCTCTCATATAATAAGATATCCACTAAAAGGCATTGCAAATACTGATTTACGAGTTGTGTTTGTAGAAAAATCATCTAAATATTTGCATATTATTTAATAATAGTGATAAAATGTATATAAGAACTGAATAAATAAGTATTTACACTCATTTACGTCAATAAATAATTTTATGCCTGACTAAAAAAATATCTGTGAGTGCAAATTTTTATGTGGGGCTAGCGATGGTCCACAGCCAATGAAAGAGCAAAATATAGGGCAGCGAGGAGTTTGGGGAGGAGTTATAGACCACAATGTCAGGAAACATAGCTTTCCAAGAACGTTGATTCTCTTTCAGAAATGGGAAGAGTTTGTTGAACTTTGGCAGGAACACCCAAATGTTCCTTCTCGATGTCTTGTCTAAGCATGTGCTATTTCCTTATCACTTTTCACATGCAACATACAGACAGTTGTTAGGCAATTCTTTCTGTAGTAAAGACATGCAGTGTGTAACATCCTGTCACAGATCCATAGAGCAGTGTAAACGCAGCAGCAATTGAAAACTACCTCAAATATTCATGCAGGGATAATGATGAACTCTGCAGTCTACATAGTGGAGTAAGAGGTGACATTGGTGCAACTACCAATTTGCTAAAGTGATAAGCAATGACTTTCTATTACATGTAAGATACATAGCAGAATGCATCAAAAGTGAAACAGAACAGAACAATACTACTTGTTTGAAACTGTGCAGTACATGGAAATTTTATCAGCTCGGTTCAAAAGAAAAGACAGCAATTCAATGGACCAGGCATTTACATTATGCTGTGAAACCCACTGAAGTGTTTTAGTCAGATTAATCAGTGCTGTCATTCTCTACAAGACAGCACACAAAACAGAACAGCCAAACATCCCAAAACAGCCGAAAAATCAATCAGGTCAATTACTGTAGTTTACTGCATTAACACTTAAAGAGAACCATTGACAGAAATGTGGGATATTTATATCAATCCCTATTGATTTATCGCATGTTGGTATCCGCTGGGTTTTAATGTCTTAAAATGTCTTAAATCTTTTTTAACAAGTCTTAATTTTCCTTTTTTAATGTATAACTACACAATCTGATCATTACCACCCATACAATCACCAACAATCCACCTTAATTAAATGTTTATTTAAAAATAGCCTTTAATTACTTTCCTTACAGTAACATTTGCTTTAAAGTTCTCCATTTATTTACTGCTGAAGAAACTGACCTGACCTAATTATTTTTGTATTATTAAATTATTATAAATACTGTCGACTGAAGTAAGTGACTGCTATGTTTTGTTCTTTTCTTGGTAAGGGTTATAAAGTTTTGTGAATAGGTGTATTTAAAAGGTAATATAAAAAAATCTAACTAAATTATTAATATTGTATTATTAAATGTATTCAATTTGAATCATTTTTGATATACTGTAGCAAGTGAAAATCTTTTCTAACTGGGATATTTGAAAAAAAAATCCTTAGCTTTCAGCCCTGTATAAGGCTAAAATTTTATTCATAATGTTCCTAAAAATGTCATAATTTTAACTTTATTATTTATTTAGTATTGTTATCAATGTAACAAATATATTAAAGGGGTAATGTAATATAGTTACTGTATTTTCCAAGTCGTATTAGTTGTTACAAGTCATATTAGCATAGACAATAAAGGAATACATTTGAATCTAGACTTTTGCAACAATATGCAATACTTGACTGAACGTGTCAGTGTTTTAAAATGCCTTAATTTGAACATTCTTTTCTACAATTGAAAAATAACATTTCAAATGTATTACTTTTTACTTTGAAGAGCCTCAAATAACAAAAATAAGCATCTCAGTGTGGACAAGAGACCAAAACATACACTTAAAAATGACATTTGCTGTTTGTTTAAACTGCTTTTCAAAATGAGCTTAAACAACACAATTCCTATGTGTTGGAGGGACAACTTAATTGTTTTATGTTCAATCCACTTAAATTTAAAATAAAACAAAAAAAAGAATTAACAAGTTAACTTAATTTATTCAAGTTTTCTTAACAAAAATTGATTAAGTGAATTAAATTGTATTTACAAATTTAAGTGGATTGAACATAACACAATGCCGAGTTCAGACTGCTGAATTTTCAAAGTAGTCGTGTCACAGATGTTTTCACACTGCATGACTATCTGCGCTAGCATTCCGTCGCTGCTGTGTTTACACTGCAAGATGGATCGGCGATGGAGTTTAACACTGCTTGACTTTACAATAGGAGAATCACTGACAACTTTTTCTCGGTCTACAAACTAGGTCTTTTAACCAAACACATGCAAGAAGTGCTTTTACCTTCTGCCCCAATCTCCCACTTGCCTGCAGATACCCATAGTGGATGCTGCTTTCTCATTGGCTATAGGTGCTCGCCGATGTTATTTTAAATCAGAACGAGCATCAAATGACACGATTTTGAATAGCAGACAGATCCAGATATTTAGCATCCCAAATATCTCGTGTGTGTCTGCAACGCACCGACGATACTCTCAGAACACGTATTTGATAGTTCACGCTTGTTCCTTACGTGAACGATCACCAATTTACCTGTGATTTCAGGCATTTGTCGGCAATTTCTCAAAACCTGTTGGTGAGTCAAAATCGGCACTAAAATCATGCAGTCTGAGCCAGGCATAAGTTGTCCCAAAAAGAGCTCAAGAATTGTGTTGATTCAGCTCATTTTAATTAAGTCGTTTGAACAAGCATTTCAAACTAATTTTGAAATGATGCATTTTCAAATGTTTCCTGATTGTTCATATTTAAACTTATTCATATGTAAACTTATCACATAATCACCTAAATGTTTTAAGTGAGCTTGTAGTGTACTTTGCGACCTCAATATGATTTTTACATTTTTCTGACACGCAGGTGACCACTATGCTTCTGGATCTGTAGAGGCCAGCACAGATGATGCTCTCTTCAGAGACAAGCTAAAGCACATGGGCAAATGTAAGCACTTTTTTTCTACAACACAACTGGTTTTCAGAATTTACCTTTTAGGATAGTAACATTTCTGTTGCCTATTCATCTGTAGCAACCAGGAAGAAGCTGTTTGAAATTGCCAGAGGTTTCTCAGAGAAGACGAAGCGGAGGAAGTCTAAAAGGAGAACGCTGCTAAGACATCATTCATATCCTTCAGCTGCAGAAAATCTGAATATTTTAGGAGCAGTAATGTATTCCGAATTAGGACAAGGACAATGTGAGAGGAATGTGAATATTTTTGAGACTCTGCATTGGTTATGAACATGCTGTTTTTGCTGTTGAGGATTTTCCAGTAAATATTATATTGGGAGTCTGGAACAATGATTGTGATTGAGTTTAGTAGAGTAAATTTGGTGTGAGCAGTTTACTTTAACTGCACTTTCTCAGATTGGGCACAGCCAACTCCACTGCCAACCTTCTAGACGATGTAGAAGGAAACCCATGTGGTAAGATTTGCCGTCAAATTCACCAAACCATATTTTCTTAATGTATCTGGTTGATTGATTGAAGTGAGTTTATAACTTGTATTACTTAATAGTGTGTGTGAATGTTTGTGTGTGTTTCGTCAAATGTTATATCTATATATTCATATTTATGCATAAAGTGTGAGTAATATTGTTTTTTAATTGATCAAAAGGAATCTTCCATTGTTGCCTTTCTAATTTAGATAAATGCTTTATTTTATTATAATGTTTTAACTTTTGTTCATAAAAATAATTCTGTAAATAAATGTTTCTAAACATTAATAAATGTAAATAAATCTAAACAAAACTAGGTACAAAACTACTAAGCAGCACAACTGTTTTCAGAACTGATAATATGAAACATTTCTTGAGCAGCAAATCAGCATTTTGGAATGATTTTGAATAACGAATGAGTTGAATAACGTTGTAAACTATTTAGCTTTACATCACATGAACACTTTCCTATTTTAAATATATTAGTATTATTTTTAGATTTTACTAAATAGTTTTATTTGATTTCTAAACTTTTTGTTTTATTTTTAAACTTGTATTATTGTTTTATATATGCAATTCGTTATTTGAATTGTTTAAGACCACATTATGAATTGTATTATGTATGCACTGCAAAAAAAGTCTTTCTTACTTGGTTTTTGTCTCATTTCTAGTCCAAATATCAAAAAATTCTTAAATCAAGAAGCATTTTTAAAAAAAAAACATTTTGTCTTGATTTTACATATAATTAAGCCTGGTTTATACTTCTGCGTCGAGTAATCGGCTTGACCCATGGTGCATGCAATGCGTGTAGCTGTGCATTTTTATTTCTGCGCACTATTTGTGTTCCTCTGCAATAACACTTTAGAAACACTAGCTGGCAGTAGGTGTTTATGTTACTCTATGTCAAATTTCTTAAGGTGCTTAATGTACAAGTGGCTCAAACTTGCTAATTTTGAGTTGGTAATGGGCATATGTGCAACAACAACTTAAAACACAAAACAGCAGTTTTCATCTGGAGCTTTTTTACGAGACTCAACACTTTTAAACACTCGCTCCATCGGGTATGCGTGGCTCTTGGTCCCGCCCACAGTCATCAGCGATACCAAGCCGACCAATCACAGAGCGTCGTTGCGGCGTATAGTTAAAATTTTTGAGAGTTTCGCAATCAGCGTCGCCGATGGCCACGGCAAGAGCTATGCGTCCACACATAGGCTGAGCCGTAGCATATGCATGCGCTTGATGCAGAAGTATAAATCAGCCTTAAGTCTAACTAAAGTAAATTTTTCAGTAAAACAAGTAAAATAATCTGCCAATGCAGTAAGTAAGATGTTCTTATTTCAAAGCGAAAACAAGTGTATTTTGCCAACCGCATTGGCAGATAATTCAGCTTGTTTTATTGAAAAACTCTGTTATTAGGCCCTATCATACACCCCGCGCAATAAGGCACAGCACATGTATTGCGTGATTTGTTACTATTTTCAGGCCAGCACAACACTAATTTTCATGTTTTGCACCATGTTGTTTAAATAACAAATCCATTTGCGCCACTTTGTGGTCTTATTATTCTGGTCTATAAAGGAGGTGTGTTAAGGCCGTTGTTGGCGCTTTGCTATTTTGAGAAACTGAAATAGACTGCGCAATTGACCAAGTAGAAGCACAGAGCATGTTAGTTATGTGCCTATGCAGATCCAAATGCTTACACATTGTTTAATACACACAGGATGTACAACAATACACAAATATCTTTACATATGAAAAAAAAGTTTAAAATGTTGCAAAAAGGATTATTTTCTAAATAAATATAAAAACCACTACATCCATGCCTCATCTCAGGGGGCTTTTTTCAGTTGATTCATGACAATTTGCATTTGTATAATGTTATTATTATTTGTAGTATTATTTATTGTATGCATATTTATTTATTTTTTTAAATACTGTCGGATTTTGGAGATGGATGCATCACCATATAGGGAATAAGAATAGGGCATGTGTGTTGGCGCCATATACAGTATGCTTATGGCGACAAGAGTTTGATTCCTGGCTCAAGATCCTTTGCTGACCCTTCTCCTCTCTCTGCTCCTAATACTTCCTTGTCTGCAACCTCTACTGTCCTTTCCAAATAAAGGTTAAAAAAAAAAGAATGAGGCATGTTTGGATATAAGTTACTCTCAATTGTTTGTTATTATTGTTATATTATTTGTTTGCGGGAAATTAGAACTGAATTTAGAAATAGTTTTGAAACAAATCTTTGCACTTACAAACGAAATTAAATATGTAGGCTAATGGATGTCTTAAGTGGAGTGCAGAGGTGGGACCAAGTCATTGTTTGGCAAGTCACAAGTAAGTCTCAATTCATTGCCCTCAAGTCCCGAGTCAAGTCCCGAGTCAAGACAGGCAAGTCCCGAGTCAAGTCCCGAGTCAAAGGCAACAAGTCTCAAGTCAAGTCCAAAGTCCTGCAGTTTGATTTTCGAGTCTTTTCGAGTCTTTTTAACAGAAAAATAAAATATATACAGATTAGGTATGGTTGTAAGATCTGTATTGATTAAACAAACCTTTTTTTATTAAAGAACATTGCTTAGATATATAAAAATACAAATGCAATTTTCTGAAAAAGTACTGAACAGTGCTGCGTCTCGTCTCCACAGCATAATGCACAAGAACGAGTTCCACCAAAAAAAGACTCCATTTTGCCTCACATCACACAGAAATTGCAGGTCTACTGCTGTCTAATTCATTAAGTTTAGTTGTGCTATGTTATGTCTTCGGTGATCAACTTGTGATTAACCAAAATTACATAACCTCAATGTGGTAGCAGTAGACCAACTCCTGTATATGCTGCAAAGTTAAATTGAGTGAAATTGGAATTTTGTCAATTGAATCTCGTGTGTCCTAAAGAGATGGAGTTGCAAATCCGTCTAGCAGCAATGTAAAATGGTAGCACATATTGTTAATGAAGTAGGCTACTTCATACAAACAATAAAGTTGTTTTCTTCACATAACGTTGAAGAGCTTTGCTCTCTACCTTGTGTGATGCTCGTGCACAGATTTCCTCTGTTTGTGGACAAAACTGATTGCGACTTCTCAAATTTTCTCTCGCTCTCAAATATGCACTGCTCACACACAAATTTTCTTGAGCGCTCTCAGAGATTATATGCAAACTCACAATTTGTGTCGTGTTACCTCTTCCTTTCATGCTTTTTGATATGATTCATATTGCTGCACTGTTTAATAACAATAACCAAAATACTAAAATAGACTTACATATTAAATGTTTAATCTAATAAACCATAACATTTTTGGTTGTTTTATATGATGAGATATTTTCAGTTTCAAACACTTAAAGACAGAGAATAGACCAGTGGTGCCCCCCTGAAAATTTGCTTAAGGGGGGCCAGAAGAGGCCAGCTACGTCAGTGGCACCAATCAATCCACAATAATTTAGTGGCTGCTATTTATTTATTGAAATATTGCATTGTATTGCATTTATGTAAGTAGATTTAAATAAATAATGTCAACAGGAAAATCATATCGGGTTGGCCACAGGGGTGGTTAGAGTTTACACAGGGGTAACACCCCTTGTAAAGGGGTTTACACCACTATAAGGCACCTCTGGAATAGATGTTGGATGTAAAGAATACATTTTATTTTAAAAGCATTTAAACAAAAACTAATGCAAGCAGAAATGTAACTGTGATAAAAATAAGGAAACACTTGATAAGGTATTATAGCCTACTGTACTATTCACTCTTCAAATAAATCTCACTATCAATCTCATTTTATCATGGCAGCTAAAATAAAGTAAACTAGTGTTTGCTGGCTTCCACTTTACTGATGAGATTGTGGAGGACATTTTCCATGTCATCCTCTTCATTTTGAGGAAAGCTGTGCCACAGGGCCCCTGAACACGTATATTGGCATGTACTGTGTTTTGAACAGTAGCCTACTACAGTAAAGAACTTCAATTGATCAGTTGTGGTAATACTATAGTTGCTATGGTAACACAAGTGTAATATAAACAAATTACCCAGTGCTGTATTATTTTACAATATAGGGTATTTTATACTACAAATCACTACACTTTACTGTAGTAAAACTACACTTTGTATTATTTTATCTGTTCACTATTGGTAATACTACTGTATTATGAAGCATTAATTAACAAGTCGTAAATAATACTAGCCTAAAACATAAGTATAATACAAGTATACAACAAGTATAATACTCAAAAACACTAGAATTTATTAAAGAATTTACCTTAACCTTTTAGTTTTTTGTGTATTGTTAATAAATAGTAAAGCAAGAAAGAAACCATATCAACATTCTTGGAATAACCCTTCGCTAAGCCTTGCCCTCCTTAGTTACTGTTGCTACGCCTGTCAAGCTTTCATGCCTGGCACATCTATTACAGTGTGTATGCGCTGGTGTCAGACATTCCCAAGGATTTAATTAGTCATTTTTGGCAAACAGGTGAGATATCTGAGAAAGCCAGACAAAAGAGGACTGCAGTATACATTACAGGGGTATATTCACAACATAATAGCAACTGATTAGAAAATAATTTTATCAAAATTGAAGCAAGGTTAGCCTAGCCACCTCATACGCTGAACATTCAACAGCATAGTTCATGCACAGCAGGACAGGTGAAATTATAAAATAATCTAATAACCTAAGAAACTGATGGATTTGTGCCGAATATTAGCATCATTGACCCATAACAGTGTACAGTACCTATTACTGTTAGCATGTTTGTGTGCTCTTTATCCAGTTTTTATTCAAATTTGCAGTTAAGTGGAAGAAAAAAATTGAAATGCACATTAAAGTATAAATAACAGAAGTGAACAAATAGATTTTTCCTACCAGCAAATATTAGTGTATGTATTTATATGCGTTACAATAGCGAGGGTTTAAACTAAGCAGTGCTCACAGGGTTCAACGCTAAGGATTTTTTCTACTGGCCCGATCGGGCCAGTGGTTCTGATTTTTACTTGCCCAGCCCAAATTTTCACTGGCCCCACCAAAAAAAAAAAAAGAAGTTAATCGCTATTTGAATGTGTGTGTGTGTGTGTGTGTGTGTGTGTGTGTGTGTGTATACACACACACACACACACACACACACAGTTGATTTCAGAATTATTAGTCCCCCTAAATTATTAGCACCCCTGTTTATTTTTTTCCCCAATTTCTATTTAACAGAGAACAGATTTTCTCAGCACATTTCTAAACATAATAGTTTTAATAACTCATCTCTAATAACTGATTTATTTTATCTTTGTCATGATGACTGTAAATAATATTAGACTAGATATTCTTCAAGACACTTCTATACAGCTTAAAGTGACATTTAAAGGCTTAACTACGGTAATTAGGTTAACTAGGCAGGTTAGGGTAATTAGGCTAGTTATTGTATAATGATGGTTTGTTCTGTAGACAGTCTGAAAAACAATTAGCTTAAGAGGCTAATAAATTTTACCTTAAAATGGTTAAAAAAAATGTTTTTATTCTAGCCAAAATAAAACAAATAAGATTATTATCAGACAAAATATCAACATTTCTTTGCTTTGTTAAACATCATTTAGGAAATGTTTTAAAAAGAAAAAACAAAAAACAAAAGGGGGCTAATAAATCTGTATATATATTTACGGTAATTTTTAAAATGTTTAAGGAAAACTATTCAGTTCATCAAGGCTATATTTATAAATGTAAAAAAGGTGTAATTGTTAAATATTTATAAAAATTTTAAATAACTGCTTTGTTATTGTATTTAGTTTCAAATAAAATAATTACTCCAGACATTATTGATTTTATAACTATTACCATTTATAAATATAATAATAATTAATATTAGTGATTTCTGAATGATCATGTGACTGGAGTAATGAAGCTGAAATCTCATCTTTAAAATCACTGGAATAAATGAATAAATTAAATGATAAACTACTTTTGAACAGTTATTTTATAGTGCAACATTTCACAATTTGTATTTATGATGAAATAATTGCAGCCCTGGTGAGCAGAAGAAGCTTGTTTTAACATATTTAATCACACTGACCCCAAACTTTTGTGCATTGTGTATAGAATATTTTATAAGTGAAAATGTGCACTTTAATTTTAACAACCCACTGACATCGTCACCAAATTCAAATCGAGGTCAGACTTTCTCATATATACAGAGCCTCATTTCAATTGTCAGGTTTTGTAGAAATCGATCAATTGAATTAATCAATCTATTAAAGAAACGTTGACTATAATTCTGTATTTTAGGCTTAATTTATAGAGAGACATAGCAGATGAACCGAGACTGCATCAGATCAATGTAAATCTTTCTTTCGAGCTGTCAGTGCGGAAATGAACAAAACAACAGGCCTAATACAACATAGGCCTATTATACGATTAAAATATGGAAAAATTAACAGATAGTAATTTCGGTCAATTTTCCTGACGGATAAACCGAGATCAGGCTGGATAAACAGCTCTCGGTAATATTTCAGGATGCTTTCACTTTCGCATTTACCGGTAAGAATGACATCTCGCCCTGCTCATCATTCCCTCTTCATATAGCCGTATATATGGCTATTACACGATCATGATACACTGTGATATAGCCTGGGTCGTTAGTTCGTTGCATTGTTTTGTTTTCTCGCTACAATCGATACGCTCAATAGGACAGAGACCGCGTCTCATTCAGGCGATCTTGGACTGATTGATTTGGCGCGGAAGCGAGCGCAACTGCTGGATATATGCTAAAAAACGCGCTAACGGGTGAAACGAGACAGATTCCAAAACAAACGTCTATGTGTGAAAGCACCGTAAGATTGTATTTGCACACAATTGACAGACAGTCGCAGCACGCAGCTCTGGCTCGATCTGGCAGGCAAAAAGGCAGCAGCTGGCCCGATCGAGCCAGTAACATTTTGTACACTGGCCCGAGTGTCTCGCACGCTGGCCCCGGGCCATCGGGCAGTCCTTATTGTCGAGCCCTGGCTCATAATATCGAGTGGAAAAAAAGAAAAAGACCGCTGGGAAGCATAACCTGCTTTTTTTTTTTTTTTTTTTTTTTTAAAAGAAACACAGTTTAGATCTGTTTAGGATAAGAGGAGTGTGAGTTATTGCCACCTATCATTGAATGTGAATATCGAAAACAAAACCAACTTAGCTTAACTCCTTTACCGCCCCTCACACAGCTTGATCCACGCTGGCATTTCTCCTCTTGGGCTTTGGTTTTGAAAAGGGAAAAAATCCCACCACCCAGTCCAAACTTTTAGGATAGCGGGTGTCAGATTTTCACAATCCAATTGCGCAACGATTTGGCTTGTTTCCCTCGCTCGAAAGCTTGACAGAGCCTCTGCCCGTAGCTACGATTGGTAAGCCGCGATTGGTGGGTGGCGGTTTTTGGGCGTGGCTTAGCGAAGGGTCAGTTTAAAAGGAGGATCCCGTGAGAGCAAAAGCACTAAAGGTATGAGACGCCATCGTAAACAAAAGTCAAGCGAACGCAAAGAGACGGAATGCACGAGAGAGAGAGAGAGAGAGAGAGAGAGAGAGAGAGAGAGGTGTATGTTGTATGTGTGAGAGAGAGAGAGAGAGAGAGAGAGAGAGAGAGAGAACGAGTATTGGCACGCGAGTATTGGCTCGATCTCAAGTTCAAATTCAAATTCTCTCTGCGTTCGCTTGACTTTTGTCCACTCCGGCGCCTCATAGTAGTCACGTTGGATACTGTCGAATCAAAACAATCTACCGTGCTTCGATTGGACGTCATGCCGAAAGCGCGCATGCTCACACACACGCACACATAAACGGGGAGAGAGAGAGAGCGGTCCATGTCAACATACTTTTTTATCGTTGGGCTTTTCATGGGAAGCAGCAAGTCTTTACAAGTCAATAGGGGCAAGTCCTAGTCAAAGTCCAAGTCATTTATGTTCAAGTCCAAGTCGAGTTGCAAGTCTTTTTATATTTTGTCAAGTCGAGTCTAAAGTCATCAAATTCATGACTCGAGTCTGACTCGAGTCCAAGTCACATGACTCGAGTCCACACCTCTGGTGGAGTGCATATAAACCGTTTCCTTATCCACAAAAGTAAAACAGTAAAGTAGAGGGTAAAAGTAAAGAGAATGTAAAGAGGCCAAATGGAAGAGACTCGTTCTTTATCCTCGTGCTGCAGATGGTCTGTTTTGACTATTTATCACTAGTTTCAGTTTTTCCTCTTACAAAGTCGCCATGTAAATAGCAAACATGCGATAGCATGACGCAACTGACTCTAAAGAGAATGGAAAATGAGGCTCCTTGATTGGTTTAATGCACGTTATGCTCAAAACACACCCATAACTCAATAAGAGAAGTACAACCTTGTTAGACCTTGCACTGGGGTGCAGAGAGTGTTTTTCCCTCCTTAAAACAGCAAAAATGGATTCAGGCATGCCCTTAATGCTTTTTTTTCTTACTGCTCTTTAGACTTTGCGCCTAGAACGTTAAAATAGAGCCAATTAGGACAGCCAATGTTTGTTTTTACATTACTGTGAGTTAAAATACGATTTAAAATAAGATTTTTACTTGCCTAAAAATTGCATCTTAATTGAAAAAATATATATATTTAGACTAGAAACAGGACAAAATCTGTCATTAAGAAAAGCTTTTTTTTTGCAATGTGCAGCTTAAATTCAAGATTAAATGTCTTAAGTTAGGATGTTGATTTGTTTGTGTTCAGATGAAGAACGTCAGCTTAGACGATTGGCTGCACAGGAAGAGGAGGAGCCACAAAAGGAACCACTATCATGGTAAATGTTTGATGCTGCCCTGATTCTCCTTGATTTTGTATTATTTTGCTTTAAAAGTCAATACTGTTGATTAATCATCTTTAAAATGATATGAATGTTTCACTCAATACTCAATCCACTCGCGTAATAATCCTGTTAATGACAGAGATGTTAATTAGCACAAAACCTCTTGCTAATTTCATTCCAGATCCCTCGTTGCTGTTGGGAAATTAGGCTTTCCATGGTGACCTGAGAATGACCCATGGCGGAGTGCTCCTTCTGTCAGTGGCTCCGGTGCTTTGCTCAATGCCAAGCAAGACTCCCAGACTCCAGAGGAACAGCCGAGGCAGGACTGACCGTATGATCATTTTGTAGCAGCCTTTTTGCGAGCCTAAGATTATTGTTACCTACATTTGATTACTATTAAAATTATTGTATTGTAACTGTTTGTTAATATTTGGTTTCATATGTAAAACTCAACAGCTATTGTAATGATTTCCAAGGATCTACCTTTTCATTTGTATCCCCAATTAGCTGAAAGAAAATTCCCATTTCTGTTTTTCAAATGCATCATCTAACTGAGGAATTTCTTTCCCCATTTATATTGGTTTTGACTTGAAAATGTTTTGATAGTTTTATTTTTGAGGTTTATTATAGTGTCAAGAGATGACAAACAAACGATGTCGGTTGTTTCAATGCATTAGTATGTAACATTTTCCTGATTTCTTAATGGACTCTTGGCAATTTTTAAGAGTCTAATCTGCACATTAAACATAAATAGTGTTTCCTCAATGAATGTACCCAGGTCGCCACATTCATTACTCAAAAACTTTTTCTCCTCTTTTATATCATTGTTATTAAAGGCACAGTTCACCCAAAAAATGCAATTGCTGTTATGTAGGTATTTTTGTTCTTCAGAAAAAAAGAGCATTTTTAGCTGAAACTGTGGTCTTTGGAGGTCTTCGGTGGCTCAGTGGTTTGCAGTGTTTGCTGGTTCTAGTCCTAGCTAGGTAAGTTGGCATTTCTGTGTGGAGTTTGCATGTTCTCCCCGTGTTCACTGGGTTTCCTTCAGGTGCACCGGTTTTCCCCAAGTCCAATGACATAGGTGAAATGGGTAAACAAAATTGCCCGTAGTGTTATGTGTGAATGTGTGAGTGTATGGGCGTTTCCCAGTCCTAGGTTGCAGCTGGAAGGGCATCTGCTACGTAAAACATATGCTGAAATAGTTGACAGTTCATTCTGGTGGCGACCCCTGATAAATCGGGGACTAAGCCAATTGAAAATGAATGAATTGATCAATGAATGAATCAATGAATTAATGAAAGCATGTAGTATTGGGTGATCCATTTTCATAAAGCAAGATTAAATAGACAAAAAAAAACATATTCAGTCAAAATTGAATTAATTTACATGGCTTATATGATGATGCATTGGGATTTTATCAAAACCATTGCTTTGTGCAAAAACATTGAACATTATTACCAAATCCCAGTTATGAACTGTGTAATTTGCTCACCTGTAATAACACTAGCTGAATTATTATATCAACTAAACATGGATTAGATCCATTTAACATTTAAAAGGCCAATGTTACACCCGCTTTGATTGTTATTACTCGATTGATTGGGCGTTATCAGCTGATAGTTTTGGGCCAGAGTGGCCTTCTGCGCCTTCTGATAGGTTCAGAAGGCTGTTATCAATTATCCAACGGAGTTTATCATCTATAAATTGCATAAGACTGATAATCCCCATTAAGTCGAGTGATTATATTTGAATTGGCTGATGTTATAAGTGAGGCAAAAAGACCCTTTAAATGTGGTGTTTTTATTTTTATTTATTTATTTTTTTTTTAGAATTATTATTTAGGGGTTTTCACCTTTATTATGATATAGGACAGTGGAGATTTTAGACAGGAAAGCATTGGAAGCAGAGAGAGTGGGAACTTTTGTGCTATATGTTGGTGCACAGTACCACTGTTGGCGCTGACTTTCGTAATTTTTTTTTTTTTTTTTTTTTGGCCAATATTTAAGTATTTTACATTGGGTTGGTCACATGTATTTATCTTTTTTTGGATATACTGTATATATTGCTGGTGGGTGAAGACTTGCATTTTATAAATCGCCAATGACCACAGTTTTGGCTAAAAATCTTCTTTAATGCTCTTCTGAAGAAGTCACCTGCATCTTGGATTGTCTGAGTAAATTGACTGCAGATATTCATGTTTGATTGCACTTTCCCTTTAAGGAAAAGAAAACATTCAGGTCTGATGTGATTTTAGGGTGCTGAATAGTCCATTTCCATACTACCTTTGCATCAGTTAAATCTAAATCGTTCATTTAGATGCTAGAGCACACTGTGTAGTTCCTCTAATGACAAGCAAAATAGATTTCAGTCGAAAAAGGTTCTCATATTTGCACTGCCATATCTGTTTCATAAAACATTTTATTTTGTGAAATGCAATTATATTCCTTGTTTAAGCCAGTATAGTTGCCATCTTTTATCTTCTGGTATTTTCGATATGAACACAATGCATAATGCTGTCCTCGAACCAACCAAAAGCTGCTGTGTGCTTTGCTTTTTTCGCAAATCACACTGAATAATTTCCCCTTCTGCTGTGCTTCCAGTAGGTCATGTGACTTTAAGATCAGAGATCGCCACCAATAAGAATGTGCCATTATGTTGCTTTGAGTGTTGTGCATCTCAGTATTGATTCAGTGCAAAATAGCCCATGGGAACACACTGTGTGATGATGTCTGTTTGTTTTGACTTCATGTACATCAGGTTGTCCAATAGTTCAGTCTGTTAGTTTGAAACCACTGCGTCATAGTGTAATATGTGCTGAGAGACGACTGTACCATGTTTCTGATTCACTTTTGAGCTCCTGAAATGTACTAAATATGGCTAATGGGGCTTAATAGTTTTATTTAAAGGGCATTGTTATGAATATGAAGTCTTTTACCTATTACATCACCTTTTGACATTATAGAACAAATTATATCAGTCGTCTTAGGCATCACATAATTATATGTTCTGTGAAGAGTAATAATAGCCATTATGAAATGTTATGGTGCCCATGCAAGGTTGTTGTTCTCTGGTGCAGAGTAGCCAGTTTTGAAAATGACAGTTTTATAAACAGCAAAACCTTGTTGAGAGAAGTAAAGGCACGTTCATACCAAGAACGATAACTATAATGTTAACAATACAAAAATGGTTACAATTTTAAATAAATAGCAGACTCCACATCACAAGCATAATGATTTTGCCCTAGCTGATTAACACTAAAAACCCTGACTGCCAATCAGAATCTAAGCTGCCATAAAGTATGTAAACACAAGTGGCAGATCACAGTAAAGTGGTGTTCGAACTAGGGATGACTTACCAGGTGCACTCCATGTTACTTTGCAGTACTTTCCATGTAAGCTTTGCCGACCTGGGAACAAAAAAACTATCAAAATTTGCAAGAGCAAAAGTGCTCATGAAGTGTGCCGTTTGGAATTGGATCATATATTCAAGGACTAGAAATGACCCATGATGCAGTTGTAAGGGGTTGTGGAAAATGAATGGACCCTTTTCACATTTCCAGGTTTCTAAGTAGCGAAAGTCATCATAGTTGGGCGTAAACTAAACTTAGAGCACAATAAACGGGAGAGTACAACAAGTAATCTCTTTAAAGTCCTGTGAGACTGATAACGGCAGCCAGAAGAGAGAACAACGCCAGATTTATTGTCCTGCCCATACACTGGTGGTAATTCGTTATTTGTAATTTGATGCAAAAATGAAATAATACATATATAGAGCATAAAATAATACGTTCATTTACTTTTTTATTTAATATTTATTTAATTTATTAGATATTAAAAACTTTCAATTTCCCAGTGTTGGGTTGCAGGGTATCCGCTGTGTAAAACATGTGCTGGATAAGTTGGAGGTTCATTCAGCTGTGGCGACACCTGATTAATAAGGGGATTAAGCCAAAAACGTTGAACACGTCATCATAACAGTCTTGTGAAAAAGGTCCATAGTTGCTTTCACATCATCTCATAGTTCCAAGATTCTGGCTAGTACTAAACACATTTCTTCAAATTCTGAAATTTCAGAGAGCTACAACTTGTACCATGTGACCTCAATAGTCAATCATTTGTCTCCTATTCAAGAATTCACAAATGTGAACAGCTAGCCTGATCTCACAAGAAAACGTAAGTATTTTACGTTTGGTCAGTCTAGTGGCTAATCCGTATGAATACATGAGTTCAGTCATAGGAAAATGTAAGATTTTTAAAAGGAGACATGGCGCCCATCCCTAACCCCAACCGTCATTAGGTGATGAACAATTTGTACTAAATTGTACGAATTAGATCGTAGTAATTTATATGAATTAGCCACTAAATAAAAACGTTACCAATTGCGGTGAGATTGTGTTGGAACAGCTCTAGGTAAAAATTCACCACTTTAAGCAGTACTAAACTACAGTGGAAATGCAAACGGTACCAAGCAAAACGACCCATACCACACAGTGGAAAATCAAGTGGACTACTGTGGACTATTATAGTAAATGGTGAACAAGGATTCAGAGGTTGTTTTGAAAACAGTTAAACAAACAATCCACTTTTTATGGAAATAGGCTCATTTAAAAACTCACCTTAAACATTTTTGAATCCAATTAAGTGATGCATAATATTATTGCACCTGCTGCAGCCATGGTACTGCAACAAAGCTCCTTGATTTTTATGCCAGAATGACCAGTATATGACCATATATATTATGCAAGTATATTTCCTAGCCATATCAACCTACAAACTACAAAGTAACAACTTTTCAGTTTCCGTTAGTCTGTCGATGTAACTACAGAAGAGTCAAGCTTTAAATTAAAAATGCTTTATTTGAGTGAGATGCTAATGGTCTAATCTAATTCAATGACTTATGCTAAGCTAAAAGTGTGTCTGCCATATCTGGAGATCATCTGAATGGCTTCAAAAATGATAAAACTCTACTGTTATTAGCGTATATGCAAAAAAGTGGAGTGTTTCTTTACATTTTTATCATTATAGTTATGGTTATTGGTGTGAACAAGCTACTGCTGTCATCTGTCATTCATGGGCACGACTAAGTGAGATTTTCCCTTCCATCCTGCTTCATAACATATTTTGTCCTCTCAGGGAACTTGCTCTCATTTCACTTTCTGCTTGAAGCACAATTAAAACTGAGATCTTACTAGCGCAGAGGCTTCAATAACAGGCAGAGTAGCGTTGTCTCTATTATGAGTCATGTCTGCTTCATTTTGCAGCCAATCTCCTTTTCTTGACTACATGTTGTGCGTTTACCCAGTTTTTTCAAGATCCCCATATTCACCTTCAGTCTTCATGTGGGAGAGGTTTAGTTGGAGGATCTGATGTGTAGCGTGTGAGCCACATGATTTATAGTGGGTCTTTACAATTAGTGGAATGTACTATTTATATTGGAAGGAAGCAACTGTACACGCAAATTGCCGTTTTTTTATATATGTGAAGTAATTGATCTTGCCATTATTTTTCTGTCCCCCTTGTTTCTTCTGAGGAGTATTATTCTCAAATGAACTGACTCTTTGTCTACTTGTCCAAAATAAAAGTGATTGTTCCGTATCACATCATTCACTTGAGACTATTTCAAGTTCTGGACTTTTCTTGAATCCAGATGTTTATTAGCTATTGGAATAAATAATAAAATTGTTGTACTCTGTCTGACCTTGTCATTTTTTTCTTCTTTAAAGTGCCAAAAGAAAGATTGATTCACGAGTATAAAAGGTGGGAAGTTTTTTATTGTTATTAATATTTTTTAATAATTGTAAAGGTCTCTGTATGGTAAAGCAGGATTATTAAATGCAAAAAAAAATTCGGTTAGGTTTTTTGCCAGAGTAAAAGCTTTAATTATAAAAAGCCAAAGGAAAGCAAACACTACCGGAAACCCTACCAGATTACTATGGTATAAATGCAGCACTACAACATACGAAAGAGAAAGATCGACTTAGAAGGCACTTATCCGTTTTATAATGATTTGATCAGCTGTCGTTTGAAATTACAAGTTTTTCTCCTATAAGGGCTTATTAAGCGGTCTCTGTCGCCATCTTGTGGTGGACCGTCGACCCTCTTTGCTCTGCTCAGTATGACAGGCTGATGGATGCCGACAAGCTGCATCTTCTAAATTATAAATCTATAGGCACTATCCTTATAAATAAACTGCATAGTTGCAATCTAAACAACTACATTCTCGACTAAAAAAGCCTCAAAAGTACGTTATGTTGTCCAACAGCAGCAATATTTGTCAAACTGTAGTGAGTTTATTGATCTGCTGTCACTCTGTGGGTGGAGTAATAAAGAAGGGTGAGGAGACTGTTAGGGTGCTGCTATTGCAGACTACCACACAGCATCAACCAATCTGAGTCAAAAACCAGAAAGAACTGTTGTATAAATATAATTTTACACAGTGATAAAAATACAGTCCTATGGTTGCTTACAATTTATTTTTTTAAATAATATAGCTTTTAATATAGCTGCTTTAGCTTTTTTTCTCTTTATTTTTATGCCAAGTAAAGATGTCATTGTTTATATAGAGATGGATTTTTTTTTTATATATAAACCCTAAATATACTGCCTAATATTGAAAGTATTGATAAAAATAGTGAAGACACAAGAAAACAATAATAATAGAAAAAAACTGTAAAATTGCTTAAAATAAGACAGTATAAAATGTTAATGAGTAGACAAGTTACAATCAGTGGTAGTGCAGTGGTAGGTTAGTGTAGACCAGGGGTTCCCAAACTTTTCAGCCCACGACCCCCAAAATAACAATGCCAGTGACTCACGATCCCTAAAATCTTCTGAGGTGGTTATGAATACAGAAACCTTGCATGCAATGGTGCACACACACCAATACACCCAAGTCTATTCTTTGTGTCATTTTTTTATAGATGTCAGTGCTGTAAATGAGCCAGAAAGTTTAACATGGTGTTATAGAATCAATCTGCTGCATCTGACGCTATTACTGTGTCTTTAATATAATGTAATTACCCTAGGGGTCGTAATCCAATACAACTAGTAACTATAAGCTAATATAGTAACTATATAGTATATAGTAACTTGAACAACATTTTTTTTCTTTTCAGTAGGCTATGGATGAAATATGGTATTTCTTATGGTTTCATAAAAATAGATTTTTGGAAATCACCCCCGACCCCCACATTGAGAAACACTGAGCATGAGAGAGAAAAGAAAAAAGGAAAATTACAATTACATGCAAGATAAGCCACATTATTCCCCAAGAGGTCCCTAAATATAATAATAAGGCTTGCCAAACATATGAAAATTTGCCAGAACCTCAAATTGAATTTTTTTTCACAGCGTGATGCTTTAGGTGTATTTAGAGTTTTCCAATGCAATAAAATTTGTCTATTTCAGCTTTTATTAATACTGTTTTTTAATATATTTTCAGTTTTAATAGAAGTTTGTCATTTTCATTAGCTACTGTTTGTTTTTTGTTTTTGTTGTTTCTTTGTAGTTTTCTTTTTTTTTTTTGGTTTCTTTAGTTTTACAAATGTTACTTATTTTAGTTATCAATTATTTTAATTTAAATAAAGGAGTTGGTTATACTCAATTGGCAAATAAAAAGTAAAACCTCTTGTTCTACATAATGCAACCAGAAGAGGGCAGTGCTGTCCTTTAAAATGGGTTTTCTTCTAAATAACTTCTAATTCTTGGTTTAACGCTTATAACAGATCACCAGTTCAAGACCTTCCCTTAACTGACTTTCTGCGAACGGATATTCCTGGAATTCCTTAGAAACGGCGCACAAAGCCCTATTCAACAATGCCATGGTCACATCACCTATCAGTCAAAGACAAAACAAAAACACCACGTCAGCCAACGTGGCAGGAATAACCGAGATAAAAAGTTCTGTATCAACCACGCTTTATCTGTATGACTCGCTAAGATCACCCTGAAGAGTTTTCCTTAAAACATAATAATCTCCCAACAAATAAACATGCACTTCTCTTGACCCAGAGACCATTCTGGCTCATTTTAAAGTGTCTTGTCGAAGCACGTATATAGATAAGGAGAACAGACTGAACTGTAAGATTCAATAACATTATCTGGTTTATCAGACTGTAGCAGAATGTTCTGACACTGCATGATATAACTAAATATTGTATAGAAAGAATATTCACTGTAAAAAATGCAGGGTTCCACATAATCCCTTCATGTTGTCCCAACACAAATCGATTAGGTTAACTTGTATGTTTTTTCACAAATTTAAGTGGATTGAACTTAAAACAATTATGTTATCCCCCCCAAAAATCAAGAAATGTGTTGATTCAGCTCATTTTAAATAAGTAGTTTGAAAAAGCAGCAAAAAAAATTGAGTGTTTGAATATATGCAAAATGTATATGGTATCTTTATTTAATGTTTCCTTCAGAAAAAAATCCCTTAGAGTGGCTCTAAACAGTAATAATTAGCAGTTAAAACTGAGCACAAATAAAAAAAAAACACACACCCAAAACCTACTTTTTTAAACTACTTATTTAAAATGACACAAAACCTCAAGTATTTTGGAGGTAAATGTAATTGTTTTATGTCCATTTCACTTAAATTTGTAAAAACAATTAAATTTGTGTTTGGAAAGCATCAAGGAATTGTTTGGAAAACTCCCCATCTTGAAAGTGTCATTTATCATCTGTTTACCACAATATGTTTTCTTGTTTTCAAGTGTTTTGATGCTGTATTGATGTTGTTTTGCACAGTACCATTGGCTGAATCTGTCATAGTCATGCTGCATCATGAATGAAACACAGCTTTTATTGACCTACCATCAAGGACTGGAACTAACCGTTTTATATAAAAGCTCTTGAGGTTGTGTTGTTTTTATGTAAACTGAGTGTCGCTCTTGACAACACTCTAATGCTGCCAGTCTAATCATAACTGCTTGGCTTCAAGAGGCTTGTTTTAATATTGGGAAAGTCAACACACTAGTTATGTTCATTTTAATTCCTCTAAATTAATCACATGCATAACAATGAATACTTTACAATCAAACTGTATACCAATCATTCTTGTAAGAATATTTTTGTTGCTCTCTGCAACAGGTTTTACAGGAACTGCCAACTATTTGCATTAACAGTGAGACACTTTGTAAGTTATGAAACAATACAATGACCTTTTTAGTTTTTAGTAAGGGATAAATTGAATATATTTCAGATATATAGGTCAGAAATAACTTGGTTTTGACAAACGATTATTTGTTTCACTGATATGGCTTCTTAGATTTAGATTTTATTTTATTAGCACAGCAAAAATAAATAGTGCCGGTAAGAAAACATACAGTTTTGGTTAAATAGAGATTAGATATATTGATTTCGTACCTATAGATTACTGTTTTTATTTTATCTTACTTTGTGTTGGGTTTGATCTCTGGCTTTGTTCAAAATCAAAAATGTTCATTTAAAAAGAAATATATACATAAATCAAACGTTTTAAGATAAACACAATTATAAAATACCAAAAATATGATTAATAAATTAAAAAAATTAAATAAATACATTAAAATTAATTATGGATTAAAATGAATGCAAAAAAAGTGATGAATAATGAGTGAATAAAGGTTTAAGTAATAAACCATTAGATAATTGATTAAAATACAACTAATATTTATGATGCATTTTATTCATTATATGACAATGCCAAAATTAGTAAATGTGTGTGTATATATATATATATATATATATATATATATATATATATATATATATATATATATATATATATATATATGTATGAAAATTTTAAATGCAAAAACTTCTTAAGTGCCATATACTCTTTGTGCAAAAAAATAGATTATTTGCATTGCCTTTAAAGTGAAATAACTACACTTAAACATTTCTAAAAAAAAAAAAAAAAAAAAAAAAAAAACTGAGGAAATTTTCAGATGGCACTTAGAGATTTATGCATATGAACTCTTTTTAGGTATACATATACAGTTGAAGTCAGAATTATTAGCCACCTTTTGATTTTGTTTTCTTTTTTAAATATTTTCCAAATGATATCTAACAGAGCAAGGACATTTTCACAGTATGTCTGATAATATTTTTTTTTCTGTAGAAAGTCTTATTTGTTTCATTTTGGCTAGAATAAAAGCAGTTTTTAGTTTTTTAAATACCATTTTAAAGTCAAATTTATTAGCCCCTTTAAGCAATTTTTTTTTCCCGACTGTCTACAAAACGAACCATCCTTATACAATGACTTGTATACATATACATATACAATGAGCTGTATAGAAGTGTCTTGAAAAAATATCTAGTCAAGTATTATGTACTGTCATCATGGCAAAGATAAAATAAATCAGTTATTAGAAATGATTTATGAAAACTATTATAATTAGAAATGTGTTGAAAAAAATCTTCTTTCCCTTGCACAGAAATTGGGGGGGAAATAAGGGGGCTAATTATTCTGACTTAAATGCTTTAGCCTATATAAAAGAGTGCAAGTATAATTGTGTCTTTATAAAAGAAACTTTACATTTGCCTTTTACATTGTAGGAGGATTTTGAGTCATTAAAAAAACACTTGCATTAACAGTCAAAATTGACAGTTATTTTTCGTTTATAGATGCTTCAAATAATTAATATCAATTAAATCGATCAAAGTTAACTTTGATGTTAATGTTTAGATATCTAAAAGTATCATTTTTAATTTAACTTTGAAAGTATAGCCTACTTCGACGGAAATTTTACAAAGGAATGGCAAAACAATTCTTTGTTCTTTATACTTCGATTAGAAGGAGTCTTAGATTTAAAACTATAACCAATAAAAATAAATCAATTTTCATGTAGATTCCTGCATCTTTTCAATTAATTCTCCATCTGTAACTTCGACATTCTGTTGCTTTTTTTCGAGAAAGGTCTTTAATTCAGCAGTGGATGTGTGCTTCATCCTCACACTCCTTTTACGCACGTATTCCACGAATCCATCCCATTCATTTTCTCGAGTGACCAGCCAATCAGGGGCCGTGCGTAAATGGATTTCCTCGAATCACAGGACGGTGCTGCCCCGTCGCCAAGGTAACTTTTATGACGTCGCTACTTAGTCCCGCCCCTCAGTGCCTGTCTTCGAATCGTTTGGACGTTTACAGCCATTACAATACACAGAATCCACGCAGAGAGCACCGCTGTTTGAGGAAGCCGGAATATTTACATCCTAATTTAAGTTTAAAATTAGTTTCAATTAAACTCGAGTTGGACTTCAAACATTGTACATCTGCCTTTTTAAGCAGTCGCGTTTGTAAATATAGCCAGCGTTGCGTCGACGTGAGACGCTCCGGATTCCCAGGCGTCTGACTGACTAAAGACACGCTCGCGGCATCCTGAGCGTTTTTTCCGTATATATTTGAACGTCTTTATTTCGATAACCAGGGACATTTAGATTTAAGAGACCCGCTTCGATTTAGATGGCAAGCTTCCCAGATTGTGTCAACGAAAATGAAATAGGTGAGTTTTCCTCCATATCTCCACTGCTTTTTACGGGGGAGGGTCTTAATGTTTAACGTTAGTTCTTTATTTCCGTGTGAGTCATCATCATATATATTGTAACGTTATATATCGTGTACACATATGCTGCTATTTGTTTGTCTCATGATTCCAGTGTGTTAAATCAACCATGTTATGAGACACCATCGTTAATGTAAAAAGAAATGTGGAACCCTAATGGTAAATGTGGCCATGAACAATGTGACGGTTAAATATTGACAGTTATTTAGATCGTTTATTAGTTGTTATGCTTGTGGTTGAGCTTCATGTTCACACCCAGCGCGCGTGCACACCTCCCCCACTGCCAGCAGCAGCTTCTCCAGCTCCAGACCCACTGAATGACTCACCACACCAGTGAAACGCCTGCTGAACTACAGCTTTACAAAGTCAAGTGGTGTTAATAAACTTAAAAAATTAAGAGAAACAACCGTTGTGTGTCACTTGTATTGTTCATGATTGAGGCAAAGTTGGTTTTATATTCGCACATTTGCTCAGGGATAACTTGTGACATGCTCCCTACATTGTTTACCATGGTCCTTTGAATATTCGGTCTGAAATTACATGCAAGTATGTCTTAAAACAACATTAGCACTATTAATTTGAAACAATGTAACATTGTAAACAATGTTATATTTTGATAGTCATTGGCTGCTCATATGATTTCACTATTTAGTATTTGCTAAGAATACCTTTCTGAAAGTATGAATGTGTGAATATAAACCCAACTTTACCTCAGTTTTTTTCATGTTTTAATATAACATTCAGGACATCTATATAGTAACTGGAATTCATGTAAGTATTTATGAATAATTAGGTAATGTTACTAGTTGCCACTACCAGGATAATGACTAATGGAAAAAAAAAACTTTTCCTTTGTTCCTGGTGTAAAATGACAGATGTTTGTAAACTTTTTGTCATACTACTAATTTAAGATGAGTAGCTGTTAGTAATTTAATTATTGCATTGCTATTTTAAAGAAAAATGTTAATAATACAAAAATATATGTCACATAATGCACAGGATTTGCTTAATAATTAGTTTAAAATGTTTTATTAAGCCTCTGATGTATATATCCTTTTTTTAATTGCTCTGAATGATACGAAACTTGGGGAAAGCTTGTTTTTGATATTGCAATCTCAGAATTAGTTTAGATTAATAACTTTGAGTTTCACATATTTTTTATTAAAACATTTTTATTTATTTGCAGTTTTTTATAAAAAGCAAGCTTAAACTTCTTTAGCATTCTGTAATTTCATACACACAAGTTTGCTGTTAAAACACTAACTTAATGTCCTTTGAGATCAAGTTCAACATTTGATGTTCTAACATAACATAAATGTGCTTTCTGTTGCAACAGGTAAAGCTAAGTTCATTGGGGAACTCATACCTCCTGTTGCTCCCTTTGACCAAAAGTCTGGACGGGAGACATGGACTGTAGCTTTTGCACCTGATGGTTCCTACTTTGCTTGGTCTCAAGGACATCGGATTGTGAGACTTGTACCATGGAAAAAATGCTTAGCCAGCTTGTAAGTATACGCACTAATCTTTTTGTTTCTTATTATGGTGAGTTGTTATAATGCAACTTTGTTGATGGACTGACGAAGGCAGTTTGTGCGTGTGTTGGTTGTCTGGTCGGGCCCTCTGGGCTTCCAAAGTGGTGTCCGGTTTTGGCTTGCTTTGGATTCAGAAGCACTGCATAGGTCAGCAGTCATCGTTTCACCTTACCATTTGAATAGAGAGACTGCAGTCCAGCATGCAGCCCTGCCAACTAGCCATTGTCCAATTCTGAATGTGAAGTCCTCCAATGGCCTTTGGCTTCATGCCTCCAACTGAGCAACTTTTTGGTTGTTTGTTTTCTCATCTCTTTGCCAGACATTAAATACAGTAGGTCTTGTTCTTTCCTGCAAGTGTTAGATATGTAGTAGTGATCTATCCAATTTCTTCTGTGCTCAATATACAGTTGAAGTCAGAATTATTAGCCCCCCCCCTGTTTATTTTTTCCCCAAATTCTGTTTAACGGAAAGCAGATTTTTTCTGCATATTTCTAAACATAATAATTTAAATAACTCCTCTCTAATAACTGATTTATTTTATCTTTGCCATGATGACAGTAAATAATATTTGACTAGATATTTTTCAAGACACTTCTATACAGCTTAAAGGGACATTTAAAGGCTTAACTAGGTTAATTAGGTCAACTAGGCAGGTTAGAGTAATTAGGCAAGTTATTGTATAATGATGGTTTGTTCTGAAGACTATCAAAAAATATAGATTAAAGGACCTAATAATTTTGGCCTTAAAATTATTATTATTATTTTTTTTTTTTAAGTAAAACTGCTTTTATTCTAGCCGAAACAAAAGAAATAAGACTTTCTCCAGAGGAAAACATATTATTAGACACACTGTGAAAATTCCTTTGCTCTGTTAAACATCATTTGGAAAATATTTTTAAAAGAATAATACATTCAAAGGGGGGCTAGTAATTCTGACTTCAACTGTATGTTTCTGCCTTTTTTTTTCAAATAGTTGTATTGTTATAGAATTTATTGATGTGTTCATGCTAGTAGCTATCATAAAACTCCAAAAATATCACTGCAGCACAACCCAGGGTAAAAGTTTAACAGAGAGGTTACAATAATTTGAAGCTAAACAAACTGTTTCTACATGCTATCTATAAAAGAAAGCATGCTATTGTAAAACAATTTGCGTTTGTTTTACGTCAAAGTGTACAGTAGTAACTTTATTAGTAGTTGTACACACAAAGGTCATCATTTGCATTTAGAATGTGCTGGAACTTTCCTTAAAGGTGTGGCTCACTAAATATGCGAAAGTCCTGATATCAACTACTTTGAAAGCAGGGATATTAAAAGGAGTTAAACAAATCTCTCAATATAATTTTGTAAATGCTTACATTTGTTTTTTAAGATGAGCAAGATGTTTATGAGATGAGAATTTGATAACGGAACGTTCATTTTGTGGGAACTATCCCTTTAAGGCAAATGTAAAAGGAAGCCGTTGTGGCATTATAGGCTTCAGTGGACACGTGGCAGGGATGATCTGTTTCACTTCTGCCTGCTGTGTGTTGTATTGATGTTTCCAGAACCTCACACACTGACTTACATGACTCGATTTCATAACTTGTACAATTTGGCAAGTGTTGTTTAATGGGTCATAGTTGATGCAACAATTCAGTAATCTCTAAGGCAGGGAGCTAACTTGGTGTTTAAATATTACTAAGGTTTTTGTAAAGCAAATTAAGTTGTCCTTTTGCTGCTGTTTGTAATTTCTAAAGGGTAAACATGTTCATTATCTGTTTCCATCAAGCAGAGCAATGATTCGGATTCCATTGTACAACATTAACTTTATTATTGTCTCCCCCTAGTTCTGTAAGGAAGGAAGATCGGTCGAGTGGTGCAGGTCCTCGAAGACTCTCTCGGCAGAACAGTGAGGGCAGTTTGCTGCCAGGCGAGCCCAGGGAGCACACCATTGACTGTGGCGACATTGTGTGGGGTCTGGCCTTTGGCTCTTCCGTACCTGAGAAGCAAAGTCGCTGTGTTAATATTGAATGGCACCGGTTCAAGTTCGGCCAGGACCAGCTCTTGCTGGCTACAGGCCTCAACAATGGCCGCATCAAAATCTGGGATGTATATACAGGTGAGCATCCTCTTGGGTGTCAGTCTGAGTCAGCCATCACAGGCTAATTAAGTATCAGATGTGGCTACTGGAACATCAGCAATTCAACTCCCGGGCAGCTCTCTGAAGGCCTGGGGGTCATGTGGCATTACCATTTGTCTAGTTTACTGTTTACATAATCCTAGCAATTAATGTCATTAAATGGTGGTAGGTTAATGTGTAAAAATAATTCAGACAGTTCTATTAGTTTCTCTGCTAAATAAATGTGTTTTGTGTGAGTACACCCATGCCCGTTCCTGATTCAGCATGCCAGGTTCCTGTTTTTCTATTCTCTAACAGATGCGTGTGCGCATGAGTGTTAGAGAGAGGGGAGGTGGTGGTTATATAAGCTGTTGACATGATCTTTAAGCCAAAACTTTTCACCAAGTTAATAATACTTCTCATATTGCTTTTTTAACTGTATATCTTATATGCGTCTACTGACAACTTTTATGTAGGTTATAAATAGTTTTTATTATGTGTATTTTATTACAAATTAAAGAGGTGTGCTCTCCCTTTTACAATACATGTTTCTGCTTTACAAACCTTAAACTACTTTACTGTTGGTTTTTGAGCCACTGAGGTTCTGCTTTTTTTCCTCTGAGTTACACAATCTCAACAGTGCAACACTGTAAATCTGCTACTGTCCTGTTTGGACACTGCCATTGGTTCTTTTTAGGGGACAGCGATGTTTTCTTCATTTAATGACTCCACCTCTCTTCTAACTGAAACCACAATGCTATAAATTTATCCAGCAAATTCTCTTTCCAGGGTGTATGACTCCTTTAGTTATGTTTTTTTTTTTTTTTTTTAACATCTCCTCTAAAACTTCCTGGAAATCTGATAGCACTGTATTGTAAAGTATCTCAACAGGATTTGTGCCACATACCTGTCATACAGTAAGCTAAAGTCACTGTAGATTTTCACGCTTGACAGACTACAAATGATGCTTGTTACTAAACCCCAATCGTATATCCAGAAATACATGTTTACATTGTTACTGTACGTTTTAGTCACTGTATTGCAACTAATTATAGGGATTTAATGTTATTAGGCTGGCAGGTGTCAGATGCTTTGCTTCCATATACCTCAAGGCAGTTCTTTTATAACAAGAGCTTACTGTATACTACTGTCTTAGTCTATAACTGTACAACTGTCAGAGTCTATAACTGTATTTCCTCTATTTAATTTACAAGTAGACCAAAAATATTTAAAATGCTCCTAAAATGTTGTCGCTGATGCAACATTGACAGTTTGAATCGATTAATATGGACTTTGTGGTGTTTAATCCAAAATGGTTTGAATGAAACTGAAATTGTATCTTTGTATTTTGTGGATAGGAAAGCTTTTGCTGAACCTGATGGATCACACAGACATTGTGCGAGACCTGACATTTGCCCCGGATGGAAGTTTAGTACTGGTCTCTGCCTCAAGAGACAAAACTCTACGCGTGTGGGACCTCAAAGATGACGGTGAGGACCTACTGCTGGTTTGGTATTTGCTGCCACAACTTAAGTTTATTGTATTTTTCATTAACCTTTATAATTAACTACACTATGTCCAACCACATGCTGAAAAGTTCTATGCTGTACAGTTACGTTGCACAGCAGTCTGCTTTGGTTTTAGCAGCCGTTTTATTTTTATTTTATCTTGCACACTCGCTCAAGCATGCACGTGCACACCCACTCAGATTCCTCCATATGGGGCAAAGTAGTTGAAAACAATAGGATGCCAAGCCCAAAGGAATGTTTGCTGATGTTTTCTCTTTTTCTTGCAAGATCCGAGAACAAACGAATCACATGAATCTTATTTATATAGTGGGAACTCAATAATATAATGGAGCTCAATGTATTTTTTAACTAATCGTGCAAGAATGTTGGCCAGCGTTCAATTCCTCTGCACTCATAGTGGTTACAAGCAGGACTTGAAAAGGAATTCAGCCTCTAGCTTTTTGTTTCCTGCATTACTTCAGCAATGTTTTCAGAGATACATTTTCTATTTAGATGAACAATAAAATGCAGGAAGAACTGTGTTTTTGATCATTTTTAATTTTAACCATAATAAATGTTTATAGAAAATTGGCTAAAGTTAAAGCAGCATGGCAAACCTGATTTACCAAGTGCAACGTGTTCCTAAGTTAACCGCTATGTTGATGCTGGAACAACATTCAATCAGCCAATCAGATTTAGAGGATGCATTTTTAGGTTTGCAATCAGGGTTATGTGCTTCAACATCATTGTTATTAACCTATAGTTTCCTTTGATTATTAGAAATAGTTTACAGTTAGGTTTAGAGTTAGGTATTAGGTTTGAATGACAATTTTGAACAGGAACGATGTTCCAGGATCAACAAATTATATCTAACTCTCTAAAGTTAGGATGTGCCTTAATCATTGCATTTTGTTTTAATAGGTAACATGGTGAAAGTACTCCGTGGCCATCAAAACTGGGTCTACTGCAGCGCTTTCTCACCTGATTCATCTGTCCTTTGTTCTGTGGGCGCTGGCAAAGCGGTATGTTTTTCAGTTCTTCCTTCCTGTTTGTTTTCTGTTTGGTGTGCTGCTTTCTGTTGATAGCTCTGCTTTGGCCAATCATTGAGTGCTAAATGAATCTTTATCTTAATGCTCAGTGCCATAACTATGCTTCTATAAACCTTGCCTGCAGTTTTGAGTTCTGGTTTGCTGCTGTTCAAACATGATATTTAAGTAAATATGAATTGAAATGCAAATGGAGCATGATTCTTCTCTACCGATGAAGCTAAACATTGATAGCAGTCTAACAGTCTTCATGCACAATGAAAAGTCTAGAAATGGTATATATATTTAATAAAAAATTTAAATTATGCACACATTGTGAAATTAAATCTGATGTCAGGAATTTCACAAATGTTTAAAAGTTTGGTGTCAGTAAAAATTTTTTTTTTTTTTTTTATGAAACTTGTACCGCTAATCCACAAGGATCATTTAAATTTATGCAACGTGACCTGTAAAACATTAAAAATGTAGCAAAATCTTTGATTTACATGAATTCTAGTTTTTCTTCATGTTTCTTGATAACTGAGTGAGCTTATTGGAATGATCACTATTCATGAATATTCTAAAGATCATGCCACACTGAAGTAATGACTGCTGATACCACCAAAATTTTGGCCATTGAAACCTAATTTCCCAATACTTTCAAACAAAATTCTTTTAAACTAATTATTTTAAATGACTGCTTCACAATATTTCTGTTTTTATAGTATGCCAACAATACACAAGACTTACTGACCCTAAACTTCTGAACCGTAGTTTTTCGAGTGAAAATGTAGCTGTCACACTGGTTGTGTGTGAAAGCCCTTACGGCACCACAATAAGGAGTGTTCCAGACGTCCCTATAAAACTATTTCTAAAGTCTATTTGGCTCCAAGTTAATTGTCCTCCCATGAGCAGGCTGCAGTGGTTAAACTGTACGGTTGTGTGTGTCCATAAGTGTCTTGCTTTCCCTGTCCCAGGTGATGGCAGAGCTGTGTGTTTGAGTGGTTATGAGGGAAGCGCCGCGCTGACATATAGAGCAGCCGGTGCGGACCAAGTGGGGCACGGCTGCCATCGCGGCCCCCGTTGGACGCTCATGTGCCCGTGCCCACGCCCCAGGGGCTTCCATGCTCCTGCCCACAAGGGCTTCCTGTACGTAGGTTCTGCTCCATGTCTGTCTACCTCCCGTTGTCGCAGTTCTCACTTCTTTTACCTTATCTCTCAGAGGAGTTGACAGTGAGACCCCATTCCCTTCCTGCCCTTCCTTATCTCCTTTCCATCTCTATATTCAGTAGCATTTCCATCATCTACACATTTACTCTAAAGCAGGAGCTCTAGGCATTGTGTCTGCTGTATGTGTACACCAGCCAGCCAGTAGAGCCTCCCCTACCTATTAGTCTCTTAATTAACCAAACTCACAACACTCTTGAATCACAACGCTTAGTCACTGGTTGATTTATTTAATTATTTTCTGTACAAAATGCCCTAGACAGACTCTTTTGTAATGGGGTTAGTAGTTGAGGGGGGTATTTGGGGCATTGTTGGCATGTGTGAGCAATGAAAGGGCTCCTTGTGCCTCAGCATACTGCCTGCCAATCAGTAATGTTAGTGTAATGTGGAATTACTTGGATTAGGAAAACATGTTACAAAAATTTTCATCCTGTTGCGTCATGCATGAAGCCACCAGAAGCAAGAGCTGTGGGGGTTTTCCATGCTGGTAGCACTTGCACTGTGAAAGCATATCTTGTTTTCCAAATGTGGATAACCCTATTTGTTGCTCTCAAAGGAGAGTTTGTTTCACTGGTGCCAGACCAGAGTACTGTAGCAAGTAACAACATGCTTTTTCTATTTTATAAAGTACCACTTAATAATAGTAGCACTTTATTTAAAGCTGCAGTCATGCACTCTACAGAAAGGCTGTTCTGTAAAGATATCTGGGTTGGCTTAACCTTGAGTTTTAGCTATGATCGTGCACCTTGAAGCCCTTTCAACTCACATTGCCAAGAAAATGGTGAATAAAACTTACGTAGGCCATTGTAGTTTCCCCACAAACATCATAATGTTTAAATGACAAATAGGTACTAAATAACTATGTATGCACATTTGCTCAAGTGCAATGTCTGTAGATTACATCAAATAAATAAGAATGTTTACGTAATATAAATAAACCATGCAGGAGTTTTGACTTTTTGGAACTTACAAATACACAGTTAAGGTGTGGTCACATTAGCAACTTCTTATAGTCTAAAAAGTCCTATTTTCATAGAGTAGCGTAGTCTGACGTAAAGACAAATTTGTCATTTTTTTTATCGCGCGGTATTGAGGAACCCTTTCCACAATTTAACATCTTTACTCTATCCCTCTTTTTTAAACTCCACTTTCAAAATGATTATGTATGACTGATATTTACACTTATGTCAGACACTTTTAATGTTAAATAAAGCCCATAATCAGTACCTGAGATCATAAATACCACTTTATGTGCTGTTCTTTCAGAAGTGTCATCTCAGAAACAGAAATTGTTTCTGAAATTGTATGTTTTGTCCAACGCCATCTTAGGGCAATTCGTAACTTTGATTTAGTGGCTAACTCGTATGAATTCGTAAGATCTCATTCGTACAATTTACTCATCCCCCAATGACGGTTAAGTTTAGGGGTGGGGTTGGGTGCCCCCCTTCCTTTTTAAAATCGTACATTCTCTTGCAAATTAACCACTAAACTGACAAAACGTATAATAGTTACGTTTCCTCCTGAGATCAGGCTGGTTTTGTCATGTATTACAGTCAAGACTGGTAGTGCAAAAACTGTAATTTTAAAATAAAAACAAATCAGATGTTACAGTGTTGAAGGTCAGGGTGTCTTTTAATCCGGCACATTTTAATTCTTCCCATTTTCCCTTTGCAAAATCTGTGTGGAAAATTCTAAAATCACATAGATTCATACTGAATTGATTTAGGCCATAATATTTGGCCAAATGGCAAATGTGACCGCACCTTTTCACTTTCTAAACTGTAAATGGTTGTGCTGGAGTAAAAAAAAGCCTTAGGAAAGCTGGATGACTGATTTAGCAGATTTTGCAGTTGTGTAATGTGCCTGTATTCTGTGTTTGCCAAAGGAGTCTACCTTTTGGCCATCAAATGTTCTCTTCTCTTGCAGTATCTCTTCGTAGGCCTCCACCGGCGCGGTGCAAGCCTATTGTAAACTCAAGTGAACTAAAACTGAAAGGGGATACCAGTGGAGTAACATTATGTTACCTTAAGTTACTACTTTGTAATTATTTTTATTTTCATATTTTGTAGTAATTATTGGACAAATGTATTGAATGTTATTTTTTTTCATACATGTACATTTAGTATTTCCATGCACATTTGTAGCTACATTATAATTGTAAAACATATTTCATGTATTAAAACTGCTAGCTGCTCTGTAGAGATTGACATTTGTGCAGTGTTGTGCATCTAAGCCTTGCTGTTACTTTGGCATGTGCTACTTTTTCTGGGTTTGGTTGTAGTGCTAAAAAATGACACTGAGCACATTTTGATCTTGCTGTTTAATTTGGATTAATTCTTTGTTTGAATTTCTTGTCTTTGTACTGTGGAGAAGCGCAGTAGGCTATAACACATTTACCTCTTGCATTACAGGTCTTCCTGTGGGACATGGATAAATACACTCTGATCCGTAAGCTGGAGGGCCATCATAATGATGTTGTGTGTTGCGAGTTTTCTCCAGATGGGGCTTTACTGGCCACAGCCTCCTATGACACCCGCGTCATAGTTTGGGACCCTCATACAGCCACAGTTTTACTCGAGCTGGGGTATGTGATTAGTTTTTTATTCTCTTTACAGGCATTCCTATCTAATATGAGTTCTCATTCATTGTTAGTTCTCACCGAGTAGTTCTCAAGCTCCTGTTATCTCTTATCTTCCCTTCAGGCATCTTTTTCCTCCTCCCTCACCCATATTTGCTGGAGGGGCAAATGACCGATGGGTTCGCTCTGTTGCTTTTTGTCACGATGGTCGGCACATTGCCAGCGTCACTGATGACAGGTAAGAATTCAACTTTGACATTTTCCTGTTGCAGTTAGTAGCCTACTTTTAAGGGACGAGGAATGTATGGGGAAGGAGTGTGTGATTTTGGTTGCTGGGCCTCTTTCTTGGAAAGATCACATGCCTCTCATATGACATCCATTAATCACTATGAGGCACACAGTTTGCTTCAGCGCGCCTCCTGCCGATTCTGGGTGAAGGCGTTGCTCTTGTACACGAAACGTTTGTGCTCCACAAAATGGCGGAAGCGAAAGAAAGTTACATCACTGCGCATTTGATTTAATACATTAATTTTACCTACAAATACATTTATACTACTGCATTATTACTGCATTTAGTTGATTAAAATACAGTAAAAAACATGTAAGCTGCTTTTCACCATGCAGTCATTAGTGTTTAGTGTCAAATGATCTTTCAAATGACTTTCTAATACGATTTTTTGCATAGATGTCATTTTTATATTGGTATTGTATTTAAAAATATATATAATAATTTCAGGATTCTGTGATTAAGTGAATCAAAATGCATTTACTTCTGTCATTTTAATGAAAAAAAATAATACAAATATTTATATTGTCACTTTTTTGTAACAATTTAATGTCCTTTATTATTTAAAGATGTTTTATTTAAAAAAAAAGTTAATTTACTGACCCCAAAACTTCACATAAGTAGTAAAATAATTTTTAAATTAAGAAAATATATACTCTAAGTCCAGTGTCGTTTTATCCTTTAATTTAACTACTAAACTATACAGTGCACTAGAAGAAAGCAAAGTTGTAAGTAAAAATGAACAATCAACTTGTATCTGAATATTTCAGGCTGGTGCGTTTCTGGAGTATCGATGAGAAGAGTCCTCAAGCCATCGGCCCCCTCACTAATGGCCTCTGTTGTGCCTTTTCTACTGACGGAAGTGTCTTATCTGCTGGGTATGATTCCTTTATTCTCTTGTTAAGTGGATAAAATTTATTATATAAATGATGATGCCAAAAAACTCGAGTTATTAATAACTTAATCCATAATCAAAAGTGCACTGAACTGGTTCTGCAGCTTTGTATATGAAATAAATCTGATGAGTTAGCTGACTAAAATGCAGTCTGTAGACACAAGTTTTCACTCAGTATACTGTTACTGTAAACTTTAGTCCCTTTTTAGGGTGATTTTGTTCTGCAGTGTAGATTTACAACACCTATATAACACCACACACACTTAAGACATTAAACAACATGAAAAGTACTAAAACAGAAACTACCTCTTCCTATTAAAGTTGAGCAAATCAATCACACAAGAAACAAATGAAAATTTAAATCTGTTGGTCCTTTCTAAACCCTACACCGAGATCCTGAGGGAAGGATGTGAAATTAATCAATTTCTTTATCACCTGGCTTTCATACAAATAAGATAACCCTGACACTTTTACCTTGTGAAATTAATACTTTGGTGCAGGTATTTAAAACCTATAACAGAAGTTCTTCTGTTTTTTTTTTAAAGTAGCAAACCAACAAATCAATGAAAAGGTTCAAATGGATTATATATAACGGCTTGCAAAACCCAGTAGCCCGATGTTTAATGTGTCTTTAGCAGCAGCATAAACTGAACATCCTGATTCATTCCATTAACTTACATGCCAGCTCCAAATAATGAATTCAACAAAGTATATAAAAATGACATTTATTCAGGGACAATTAAAAAATTAATAAACATAAACTTAAAATGAATTATTTGTAACACCGCAGAATTGTACAGAACTGTACAGTTTAATAGGACATGTCGTTGGGTTTGTTTAGTCGTTTCACGTGATGAGGCCTGTGTAAGCAATGCAGAATTAAAATGTATATATATCTTTATGCAATTATTCAATATTAAGATCAAGATAAGTTGGTTAGTCATTATGACTGTAATGAAAAACCCTTTATTTTTAAACAATCCAAATGCATGCATCTCTGTGAAAAGTGTGTGCAGATCAGACACGCGTGCTAAAGAAAGATAGAATAGACGTTATAAGTTAATAAGGATAAGTTAATGTCATCTGCCTACTTTTTGCGGTTATTTAACATGATCTGTAAACAATTGGCAGTCAGCTTGTAAATGGAAATGTCTGTGCACTTAAAGGGCAAGTTAAGGGGCAATTACCTAAAAATGAAAATTAACCCACTGTTTACTCCCTTCACTTGTTTCAAACCTGTTTGAGTTTAAAAGAGAAAGAAACCCAAGCAGGTCTGAAATGAGTGAAGGGTGAGTAAATAATGACAGTTTTCTAGTTCGGGTGAAATATGTATTTGTGTCTCCTCTACCTCAAAGCTAAATCATCCAGATTTTACAGGTAGCAGTAATTTAGTTACACAAGAAAAAATCCAAAATAACCTCTAGGGAACCTGCTATTTTATATATCTATACTCTGTAACATATTAGTATGTATTTATAGCTGCAATTAATAACCTTAACAATGTTCACTTAACATCATTTAATAAAAATAATTAAAAACTTTTAAAGGTTAAATAATACAATTTTGGTTATTTAAAAATGAATATACAGCCTATAACAAATGCCATTATATCTTTCCACTATTTTATAAATAATGTATTTTCTATTTGGGCTACTTAATTTATATTTGGGCTACCAAAAACTGAAAAGTGGCTACCAGGTATTTAGAAATTTTGCAAGCCCTGTTGAGGCCTTATAAATTGCCACCATCAGAGTCTTATCAATATTAAACTTCATCAACTTCCACAGACAATAAAGTCTTTCTATATCTACAAGCGATCGTTTAACCAGCAATATACAAACATAACTATGGCGGCTTTTCAGTTTGCTCAAAACATCAGAATAAGTTTCAGTACTAAGTTACTTAAATCAAATCTCTTCTCTCAGGTCCCGGGATGGCAGTGTGCATTTCTGGGCTTCTCCACGCAGTATCGCCAGCCTTCAGCACCTGTGCCGAATGACCCTGCGACGAGTCATGCCCACTCAGCAGGTTTACACGCTGCCCATTCCCTTTTCCATGCAGGACTACCTGGCCTACAAAACGCTTTAACTAGCAACACAAACCACAGCACTCTCTCAAATGTTTTTTCTGCTCATACAGACCATTAGATGACAGCGAGGTCTGTTCTTTTTGTATTTATTTTTTTGTATTATTTGGACAATATTCTTACCTTCAAGCCCATATCAGGTAGCGGCCTTTAGAAAGCCTTAATATATCAGCGGACCACATTTTGATTTGCAATTCTTTCTTTTTTCATCTGGCACAACTTGTATAGCACCTTATAGCTAGGTGAATGTGGTGCTTTTAGCTCCTCCACCGAGTTTAAAGCGATGTGATGGGGGAATAATGTCTCCCCAATGTTCTGCAGTGTTTTTCTTTGTCTGTGCTGGCTGTGTGAAGGATTGAAGGGAAGATACAATGTGAACGCATGTATGTGTGAGTGCGTGTGCTAGATTGAAGATAGGTTGGTAGTTCAGGGACACAGGCAGTGCCTCCCCTTTACGTGCCTCTTTAGACAAAATACACTCGCTTAACGGTGCTTCAGTAATGACCTTCTGTTCAACAACACAATCCTAAAACTACAGTAACGCACACGGGCTTACTTTTTTCTTCAGAAATTGTATATTTTTTACGTGTACAGAGATTTGTAAAGGCATGTTATTGAGTGTGTGTGTGTTTATATAAATACAAATCTTTGTATAAATATTCTAAGTATATATAAATATATATATGTAGCTTCATTTTTTCCAGCGCTTTCATCCATAGCTGTATTAAAGTTAGCTCTTTTTCTCTTGTGCGATGATGGGTTGTAGCAGAGTTGCACAACAGGTTGCTTTGAGGAGAATCTGGCAACCAGTTCAATGATGTATTCCAGTAGCAAAACCACATTTGATTTCTTATTCCGAACAATTTACCATCAACTTTGCTGTTTGGCACTGTAACAGTGCTTGGGATGCATTGCATTGTCCTAGTGTTTCCCCACATACACACACAGTTCACTCTTGTGCACTGTAGATGTTGGCTATGTGCAATTTAACAGAGAGCCAACTTGGTTTCATTTGGGCATGTCTCATCTACCTCTCATTTTGGAGAACTGAAAATATTGATGGTTTATTGGAAGAAAAGCATCCTGATTCTGTTTATTGATCCATTTATGCGTTATATGACCTTTGCCTGTCAGCTTAATGCAATCACATAGTCTTATTAATGTGCACTGTAAAACGTTTCACATCGGTTATGCTTATAAACTCAAGTTTACCAGCTGCCTTGTAAATTGGAGTCAACTCAACTAAGAGAGATTCTTTGTTTTAACTGAACTCACAGCAAAACTTAACATCTTGAGTTGAAACGGAATCTCTCTAAACTGAGTGGACTCACATTTTCAAGGCAGCTGGTGAACTTGAGTTTGTAAGTATAAGCGATGTGAAAGGTTTTACAGTGTGGGAATCTGAAGTGGCATGTTGATCTAGTCATGCTGGCAAAGAGTCTCTGCAATAAAAACTAAAAGTGTTCATAAAGCCGATGCCAAAGATCCCCGCTTATTGATGAGATTGGCGCAGTCGGGGTTCTCTTTCCTTCTTCCTCCATTTATGGCGAAAACTTGAAAGTCTTTTTTGTATTCGTAAGTCTGCTGTTATGCTTGAGTGTATGAAGAATGCTTATGTGAAGTAGAAAGATGCGTAGATGCACCAGGATGTTGTGGTAGTGTTTTCAGTCGGGTTGTAGAGATGTTTGGAAAGTAGTCAGTTTGTCCAGCTGTTTCAGGCAGAATACCTTATGCTGTTCCCAATTCGTCAAAAGGAAAAGTCATCTGACAAGAATGTACTTTTTTTTCTGTCCTCCAAAAGTTGGAGTTTCTGTTTGTTTGTTTGTTTGTTTATTTGTTTTGATTGTCAGAATAAAGTATTTTAATTCATTCTGTTGTCTTGACTTATTTTTAAAGTCTTTATGCCATTTTATGTCAAATGTGTATAAGGGAAGTTTCACAAACTAATTTCGAGAGGAGCATGTGAGATGATTGAGCACGACTGGCTGCTCCTCCGTAATCGGTAATAATCCAATCAGAGCTATTCAAGCTTACTATAAATGGATTGTTTTCTTTCTACTGCTCTATCTTCGTTTTAGATGAATCCCCCCTTCCACCCCATCTCCTCCTTTTCCTCCATGTTCTAAGGGAGAGCTCTCAAGATCTACCTGATCTCGGATCCCCTTATATGCTTATTGACCGGGCGGGAGCCTTGGGCTCAAGTATCTCCGAGCTCAGGGTTCTAGCATGCATATCTAATTGGGAACTTTTGAATTAAAACAATATAACATTAAAAGAAAATTTTAAAATATATGAAGATATTTTGAAGGCAAAACTGAATATTTAGCGATCTTAGGCCATTGTCAGTGTCACATGATTTTTCAGAAAGCATTTTGAAGCTGATTTATTGCTAAATGAAATATTATTTAGTGCTGGGTAAACTATAATTACAATTAATCACTTCTTAAATGGATTTTCTTGTGTGTGTGTGCATGCGCGGGCGCACTCTGTGTTTATTTTGTATGCATCAGGGTGTCCGCGAGGTCGTATGGAAGTCTTAATGTCTTAAATTTCAGAAACTAAATTTTTTAAAGTCCTAAATTTACTTAAATGTTTTGTTGTAGGTCCTAAACCATGTTAAACAGGTCTTAATTTTTCTATGTTCAAGTAAAGCTACCCAATCGTCCATCTTAAAGCTTTATATATATATATATATATATATATACACACACACACACACACACACATCACAACAGCTGTTAGACATACAGCAAATTCTCCTAATCAAATTCCCTAAGCATGGAAAGAAAACTAAAGCAACACATCCCTTTACATGATATTACATAAGTAACTGGGCCATTAGAAAAAATCCTTAGTGTTTAGCTCTGTATAAGTCTAAACTTTCATTCATAGTGGTCTTAAAAGAGTCTTAAAGTCTTAAATTTGATTTGAAGAAACCTGCAGAAACCCTGATATATGAATACACACATGCATGTCTTTCAGAAAAAGGTTTATTTGTCTTTGATATAAAATATGATACAAATTATATCTAAATTTTAATATCTATGTAACAAGTTTTGTTTAGTTTAGTTTTTATGTATGTGTCTGTATCACATCTACATAATAAATATATAAAATATACACCTATATTATGTCAAAACAAACTTAATAGCAGCAGCTCTAAACTTTGTATTATTTGCTAAAACCGTAGTGCTGCTTTTCAAGATTATTGTAAAAGATTAATGTATGTACTGTCACATCAGAGCGAAAATGTGTATACTTGTCACGACTTGCTAAAGTGTTGTTCACTATAACAATAATTTATTTACCAAAAAATCTTTGCCATGTTTAGAACAAGAATCTTTTGATGACCTATTAATAAATAATAATAAATTCATGTTTTTAATTATTTGAAACAACTTGCGATGCTTTTAATGTTTAAAAAATATCTATTTAAAAATATCTATCTAAAACTAAATGACAGTGTACCATCATTTACACACATTTTGTATATCGCATCAAAATATGAGGTATTTTATATTAAAAATATACATAATCAATAATACATGTTTACTCGTATCTGAAAATATATCGGGGAACAAATGATCAGGAAGCAGTAAAAGTTTGGTAGTGCTCTGTTCATTGGGACATTTGACCCAATTGTTGACTGAACAAACAAGAATGACAGTAAGATTTCACAGCTGTGTTGATCTACCCAGGCTCCCCCGTACAACAGGTCATTACGAAGCCTTACAGAGGCGACAACTGCAACCTTTAGCAACTTCAAGCTGATCAAAGCAGATCTTTCCTTTTTTAAAAAAAAAAAAAATAATATATATATATATATATATATATATATATATATATATATATATATATATATATATATTTGAGATTTCCTTTTCTTACATTTCTCAGAGTGTGGAAACTTACTGAACAGCTTAAGTGAGTTCAGACTCTGTCCAAAAGGCATGAAAGGTCATTATCGGGTTAATTATTGACTAGCAGAGGTAATGCTATCGGGTTAAATATTAAGACACCCTGCCAATAAAATTGAAGCTTCAAAGAGACACACGCAAAAAAAATCATTACTGTTAGAGGCATCAAGACAACATGCTTCACACGCGAGTCATTACAACCAGAAATATGAAGCTAGATTAACCTTAAAGGGGTAGTTCACTCAAACATAAATATTTACTCCCTCTTGAGTGATTATAAACCTTTATGAGTTTCTTCTGTTGGATAATAAAGAAGATATTTTGATGAAAGATAAAAACAGAGACTTCCATAGTAGGAAAAACAAATATTGTGGAAGTCGATGGTTACAGGTTTTCAGCTTTCCTTAAAATATCTTCTTTTGTGTTCAACAGAAGAAAGAAACATACACTCTAAAAAACGTTGATTTATTTAATTAACCCAATGGTTGAGTTACAAATATTTGGTGCTGTGTTGGATTATTTTTAAACTTTTTTGGTTATTTATTTAATAACTCTACCAGTTTGGTTAAAAATTTGAATTTAAACAGTCTACAGCAGGGGTCACCTGTTTCGGTCCTGGAGGGCTGGTGTCCCTGCAGGGTTTAGCTCCAACTTGCCTCAACACACCTGCCTGGATGTTTCAAGTATACCTAGTAAGACCTTGATTTTCTTGTTCAGGTGTGTTTGATTAGGGTTGGAGCTAAAATCTGCAGGACACCGGCCCTCCAGGAACAAGTTTGGTGACCCCTGGTCTACAGATTCAACTGACACAGAACAGCCGACGCAATCTCACGGCAATTCGTAACTTTTTGATTTAGTGGCTGATTTGTATGAATTCGTAGAATGTAATTCATACAATTTAGTATGATTTGCTCATCACCCAATGATAATTGGGGTTAGGGGTGGGATTGGGTGCCATGCGTGCGTAACATTGTTTTGTGTTATAAAGTTATTTAAGCTTTAGTGATAATATTTCAGTTATTTTTATCATGTTTACTTCTCTCCGTGTCGAGGGATTTTCATATTCGTTTCACTAGCACTCTTAAATAATGATGATACAAATGCTTCGTAACTGATCTATATTAAACAGATAAAAACAGTTTATCTACTGTACCTTTCGTTTTCCTCTCTGCATTTTTTCCAGGGGATTGATACACATATTTGAGCTATTCTGCCGTCATTCTCGCATTTAGGACCCAGCGGAGAAATCAACCTGGTGTCGCGTCCAGTTTTGGTGAAGGTATGTTGCCTTGGAAATGGAAATAAAGCATTTTATGTATTTTTTAAAGTGTATGTTATTATTTACAAAGTCTTAGTTATAAAATTAATAGTAGTACAATAGCAATAGTATTACCAGAAAGGAAGAAATAACATTTAATCAAAATAATAGTTCAAATAACCTATAGTTGGGAAGGTGCTATAACAATCTACAGTTGGGTTATATGTTGGGGTATTTTTAACCCATCTATTTTTACAGAGTATAAAGGTTTAGAATGACTGTAAATGATGACAGAATGTACATTTTTGAGTGAACTAACCCTTAAAAATTTTCTAGCGTGCCACTTTGTGTGTTGCAACCTGTCTAATGCCTCAACTTCCAGATGATTCCACAGCCTGAAGCATATGAAACAAAGATCAGTCAAACTTTTGTGACAGTTTTCAGAGATTACGATCTACATCCATATATCAGAGTTTTCTAAGAAAGAAATGATTCCTGCAACAGAGGAATGGCTACTGACCATACACATTCCAGCAAAAGTACAGTATGTACTGTCACATCAGACTGTGAAATCCATAAATAACCTTGAAGTGTAAAATGAGGCGATGGGTTCAGGGTTCATGACATCTGCTGTGTAAGGTCTGTGAAACTGCAAGTCATTTGGACAGCTTGTGGATCATCAAGTACAAGTATTACATTCAGGCCTGTTGGCAGCCTGGCGAAAGCGGTGCTTCTTTTTTGTCAAAATGTGGACCTTTTTGCAGTTGTTCGCCTTATTTTCTATTTATTGTAAATTTAAATACTGCATTTTAGTAACATTTTTAAGCACAGTTTTGGCTGGATTAGCTTGTTGGACTCAACAGAGGAATCCTCTGCCAACACAGGACTCCGTTTGGTTTTAACCCATTTGTGCCTAATTTGTTTTATTGTTTCAAGCACGTAGCCTTGTTAATAGTGTGAACATCTTGTGCATTTCTTTTCTCCAGGTTTTTTTTTTTCCAAGAAAATTGTAATTGAATATGTGGGCAAATATGTTGTAAGAACCCTTTAGTGTAAAATTTGATTAGGAGGAGAACATTTGGAACTCAAAACAACTGCTTTTAAAAGATCAATTCATATTCATAAACACATTTTTTAAAATTAGACAACCATTTGATATGCACCCCCCGAAAATTATCTATCACAAAGACTTAATGCCTTTGTCTTAAAGTGATTAAACACACACTGGTTCCCCCAACAGACTGCTGTGTGTCAAAAAGATGAATAAAAATATTCTCTGTAAATCTCACTACAAATTTTTGTAGACATCTGACAGAAATAGCCAAACAGCTTAGTAATACGTAAAGCTGCAGATTCTGTTTGTGGAGTTTAAGTTTGAGACTCTGAGAGATTTAGTGAATTTTTAGTTGAGATTCCTAAGGAAATGTCCACATGTACACAGGTTTTTTGTAAACAATGTTTTTTCTCAATTCTCTAAAAATCACAGACCCTGGCACCTTAGAAAATATTCACCTTGACGAGTTTTAGTGACCTAATACTGCATTTTTGTGTGTTTTTTCAGCAATCCTGCTTTTTGCAGCAGGAGTTGATTATTCTCTGTTCACTTAGCACTTTAACTCTGCACCAGTGTTAGTTTAACTCTTTGTAGGAGTGGGAACAATGGGAGATTGGGAGGATTTTGCTGTGTATCAAAT